ATACAGGCAGTAGCAGTAGTAGTAATACAGGCAGGAGTAGTAATACAGGCAGTAGCAGTAGTAGTAATACAGGCAGTAGCAGTAGTAGTAATACAAGCAGTAGCAGTAGTAGTTATACACGCAGTAGCAGTAGTAGTAATACAGGCAGGAGTAGTAATACAGGCAGTAGCAGTAGTAGTAATACAGGCAGTAGCAGTAGTAGTAATACAGGCAGGAGTAGTAATACAGGCAGTAGCAGTAGTAGTAATACAGGCAGTAGCAGTAGTAGTAATACAAGCAGTAGCAGTAGTAGTAATACAGGCAGTAGCAGTAGTAGTAATACAGGCAGAAGTAGTAATACAGGCAGTAGTAGTAGTAGTAATACAGGCAGTAGCAGTAGTAGTAATACAGGCAGTAGTAGTAGTAGTAATACAGGCAGTAGCAGTAGTAGTAATACAGGCAGTAGCAGGAGTAGTAATACAGGCAGTAGCAGGAGTAGTAATACAGGCAGTAGCAGGAGTAGTAATACAGGCAGTAGCAGTAGTAGTAATACAGGCAGTAGCAGGAGTAGTAATACAGGCAGTAGCAGTAGTAGTAATACAGGCAGTAGTAGTAGTAGTAATACAAGCAGTAGCATTAGTAGTAATACAGGCAGTAGTAGTAGTAGTAATACAGGCAGTAGCAGTAGCAGTTATACAGGCAGTAGCAGTAGTAGTAATACAGGCAGTAGCAGTAGTAGTAATACAGGCAGTAGCAGTAGTAGTAATACAAGCAGTAGCATTAGTAGTAATACAGGCAGTAGTAGTAGTAGTAATACAAGCAGTAGCAGTAGTAGTAATACAGGCAGTAGCAGTAGTAGTAATACAGGCAGTAGCAGTAGTAGTAATACAGGCAGTAGTAGTAGTAGTAATACAAGCAGTAGCATTAGTAGTAATACAGGCAGTAGTAGTAGTAGTAATACAGGCAGTAGCAGTAGCAGTTATACAGGCAGTAGCAGTAGTAGTAATACAGGCAGTAGTAGTAGCAGTTATACAGGCAGTAGCATTAGTAGTAATACAAGCAGTAGTAGTAGTAGTAATACAGGCAGTAGCAGTAGTAGTAATACAGGCAGTAGCAGTAGTAGTAATACAGGCAGTAGTAGTAGTAGTAATACAAGCAGTAGCATTAGTAGTAATACAGGCAGTAGTAGTAGTAGTAATACAGGCAGTAGCAGTAGCAGTTATACAGGCAGTAGCAGTAGTAGTAATACAGGCAGTAGTAGTAGCAGTTATACAGGCAGTAGCATTAGTAGTAATACAGGCAGTAGCAGTAGTAGTAATACAGGCAGAAGCAGTAGTAGTTATACACGCAGTAGCAGTAGCAGTAATACAGGCAGTAGCAGTTATACAGGCAGTAGCAGTAGCAGTAATACAGGCAGTAGCAGTAGTAGTAATACAGGCAGTAGTAGTAGCAGTTATACAGGCAGTAGCATTAGTAGTAATACAGGCAGTAGCAGTAGTAGTAATACAGGCAGAAGCAGTAGTAGTTATACACGCAGTAGCAGTAGCAGTAATACACGCAGTAGCAGTAGCAGTAATACAGGCAGTAGCAGTAGCAGTAATACAGGCAGTAGCAGTAGTAGTAATACAGGCAGTAGCAGTAGCAGTAATACAGGCAGTAGCAGTAGCAGTAATACAGGCAGTAGCAGTAGTAGTAATACAGGCAGTAGCAGTAGTAGTAATACAGGCAGTAGCAGTAGCAGTAAAACAGGCAGTAGCAGTAGCAGTAATACAGTCAGTAGCAGTAGTAGTAATACAGGCAGTAGCAGTAGTAGTAATACAGGCAGTAGCAGTAGTAGTAATACAGGCAGTAGCAGTAGTAGTAATACAGGCAGAAGCAGTAGTAGTAATACAGGCAGTAGCAGTAGTAGTAATACAGGCAGTAGCAGTAGTAGTAATACAGGCAGTAGTAGTAGTAGTAATACAGGCAGTAGCAGTAGTAGTAATACAGGCAGTAGCAGTAGTAGTAATACAGGCAGTAGCAGTAGTAGTAATACAAGCAGTAGCAGTAGTAGTAATACAGGCAGTAGCAGTAGTAGTAATACAGGCAGTAGCAGAAGTAGTAATACAGGCAGTAGTAGTAGCAGTAATACAGGCAGTAGCAGTAGTAGTAATACAGGCAGTAGCAGTAGTAGTAATACAGGCAGTAGTAGTAATACAGGCAGTAGCAGTAGTAGTAATACAGGCAGTAGCGGTAGTAGTAATACAGGCAGTAGCAGTAATACAGGCAGTAGCAGTAGCAGTAATTCAGGCAGTAGTAGTAGTAGTAATACAGGCAGTAGCAGTAGTAGTAATACAGGCAGTAGCAGTAGCAGTAAAACAGGCAGTAGCAGTAGCAGTAATACAGGCAGTAGTAGTAATACAGGCAGTAGCAGTAGCAGTAAAACAGGCAGTAGCAGTAGCAGTAATACAGGCAGTAGTAGTAATACAGGCAGTAGCAGTAGCAGTAAAACAGGCAGTAGCAGTAGCAGTAATACAGGCAGTAGCAGTAATACAGGCAGTAGCAGTAGTAGTAATACAGGCAGTAGCGGTAGTAGTAATACAGGCAGTAGCAGTAATACAGGCAGTAGCAGTAGCAGTAATTCAGGCAGTAGTAGTAGTAGTAATACAGGCAGTAGCAGTAGTAGTAATACAGGCAGTAGCAGTAGTAGTAATACAGGCAGTAGCAGTAGCAGTAATACAGGCAGTAGCAGTAGTAGTAATACAGGTAGTAGCAGTAGCAGTAATACAGGCAGTAGCAGTTATACAGGCAGTAGTAGTAATACACGCAGTAGCAGTAATACAGGCAGTAGCAGTTGTAGTAATACAGACAGTAGTAGTAATAGTAATACAGGCAGTAGCAGTAGTAGTAATACAGGCAGTACCAACAGTTGTAATACAGGCAGTAGCAGTAGTAGTAATACAGGCAGTAGTAGTAATACAGGCAGTAGCAGTTGTAGTAATACAGGCAGTAGTAGTAATACAGGCAGTAGCAGTTGTAGTAATACCGGTAGTAGCAGTAGTAGCAGTAGTAGTTGTAGTAGCAGTAGTAGTAGCAGTGGGCGAGTCAGGGTATGGTGCAATCTCATTAAAATCAGACCTCAGTTCTAGCTACCGCTAAACAAAGATCTGAGGACATCCCATTAGGGGTCGCTTACCAGATTGTGAAAGTGACAGTCGGAATGAGATGTCTAATCATGCAACCTCGAAAACTTTAACTCCGAACGATAGTTACGGGTTTAACGACTGAATCCATACAATCTAGACCATCTATTAGCCAACCCAGAATGTTCTTTTGTTCAGGTTTCAAATTTGTAATCGAGAATTTGTCAAAATATGTTTCGAAGCGTAGTCGAAAAGCCGTAAAACACGAGAAAGCTGCCTTCTGATTGGTCATTCCATTGGTCGGTCAAAGTTCGCACAAGGTCGGTCTGACGTGACCCGTAATAAGATGTCCTCAGATCTTTGTTTAGCGGTAGCGAGAACTAAGATCTGATTGTAATGAGATTGGGTGTGGTGCTGACAAACCTTGAAATATTATCGGGGCGAGCCTGGATTCGAACACACAATCATAGGTTTCTGGCGTTTCTAGTAGTAGTAGTAGTAGCAGCAGTAGTAGTAGTAGGAAGTAGTGGTAGTAGTAGTACCAGCAATAGCAGTACCGGTAGTAGTAGTAGTGATAGTATTAGTAGTAGAAGTAGTAGTAGTAGTAGTAGTAGTAGTAGCAGTAGCAGTGGTAGTGGTAGTGGTAGCAGTAGTATTAGCAGCAGCAGTAGCAGTAGAAGTAGCAGTGGTAGCGGTAGCGGTAGTGGTAGTGGTGTTCTTGCAGTCAGTAGCAGTAGAAGTAGCAGTGGTAGTGGTAGTGGTAGCGGTAGCGGTAGCGGTAGCGGTAGTGGTTGTGGTGTTCTTGCAGTCAGTAGCAGTAGAAGTGGCAGTGGTAGTGGTAGTGGTAGTGGTAGCGGTAGCGGTAGTGGTAGCGGTAGTGGTAGTGGTGTTCTTGCAGTCAGTAGCAGTAGAAGTAGCAGTGGTAGTGGTAGTGGTAGCGGTAGTGGCATTGGTAGTGGTGTTCTTGCAGTAGCAGTAGAATTTGCAGTAGCAGTACTAATAATAGTGGAATAATAGCAGTGCTACTTCAAGGGTCTAATCTGTTACTATTCTATTACACTTAGACAATATGTTGGACCTCAATACCACTGCTATAGAGAAATCACATTAAAATTTACATAGTAAATAATATATATATATATATATATATATATATATATATATATATATATATATATATATATATATAAAATCATTAGAAGTACTAATATATATTAAGTCCACCTTATCCCAACATCTTCTTTACATCAGTTATATTTACAGATTGTCTAAGTGTAATAGAATAGTAATAGATTAGTTCCATGAAGCCTTGCTCCAACCGGCGGTCTAACGTAAACGCAGTGGGCATTCAACTTCAGGCTACATAACAGTGAATGCCATATTGCTGGCGAGAGTCAGTTAAGGGCGACAACTGTGATTGTGAAGAAAATGTGCTCACTGACTCCAAAAATGTGCTCGTCCAACACGTGTTCAACCGCCATTGAGTGCTAAACCTTCAGTAAGTAGATGTGTGGCTGCATTGCCGTATGCAAAATGAATGATGTAACACACCCAGCTGCCACAGTTCAGTTGCATGACGATACTAAAAATACACTCGTGTCATGTTGTATTGTGTATGGCCGAATTCATTACATGGAAATGTAAATACATATCTTTAATCGAAATATCGTGACTATCGATGCGAGGAGTATGATTTATCTATTAATTGGGTTACGTAAATGTACATTACCTATTCAATATTCCGCAATGTAGTTTGTAAAGGCCTGACAATATGTCTACTTGTCTACTTGTCTTCTTTTCTACTTGTCAACAACAGGAATGTTCATTTGAAATTGTAAACGCATGTATGAATAACCATTCTCGGCAGTTAGATAGCATATGTGAGTATTAAGTACATACCTTATTCTACAAACAACAACAGGTGGATATTTACACCAAGGAAGTAGGTGTCAAAGCAGGTGCGTCCCGCCATTTTGGCGATTGAAAAGCTATTAATAGGTGCACGTGTCATGGGTAATTCCAAGTAAGCTGTTTCTAAGAATATTTATGTGTCAAGCTGTTAAAACCGGTTTGATCCGCCCTGGTTCTACACAAAAGTATTGATTTCTTATCAATATACTTTATTCATAACAGAATAGAACGGAACACATTTTATTGGTACTATACATAGTTTAATCCATTATACAATCTTCAGTTTCATACATATCTTTTTAAAATATATATATTGACATATTCTATTCTCGCAATTGATTGGATCGGTTGGACGTTAAAATACCTAACTGACTGACAGTTTGGTGGCTATTAGCTTCATTGGGGATTCCTGGTGAAAATAGGTCCCAATCAATATATAAATATGTATTTACCGTACGAGGCGATCGGGTGGTCAGGCACGGTGATTCAATTGATTTACGTAAGACGCTAAAATTGATCATGCCCTTGTTTGTTGCTTGTTGGATAGTGGTAAACATCGCACTCATTCCAGCTATATAAGGTCGGCCTGTAAATAATCGATATTGTGAACAACTATCCGCTCCGTCGTGTTACTATGACAAGAAATCAACCATATCACCGAGTCTGACAACCCGATTCATATGGTCGCCTCCTACGAACAGCATGGGGACCAGTTATAACCTGATAACCCACATTGTTTTCTTAGTACAGGTAATGAGTGGCTATATTCTTTGTTTAACGCCACACTTAGTTATGTTCCAGCAAAATGACGGCGGCCTGAAAATAACCGATCTGGACTTGAAAAACCAGTGATTGATATTATGAGCAACGTCCCACGCCGTCGGGCAACTAATAATTCATACTCATCGTTAGTCTGAAAACCCCGCCTTCATCGTGATTACTGTTCGATTACTGTTCGAAACGTCTGTGAAGTAAAGGAACATTGCTACGACCAATGTTAGTCAGGACGATTCTATTTGGAACTATGTCTGTCCGGGTTAACGAGGTTTCATGAAATAAAGTATACATAATACAGATTCACCAAGTGAAGCTTGAACAGCAAATACGTTTTTATTAGCACAATAGTTGCATAAATCTTCCATATATTTCGTAACAAAAATATCATGATGACATGACTCCTTTATATGTATCAAAATTATTTTTTGTAACATGTAAATAAAACAGGGCTTAAACTACAACCTTGCCGGACCCCACTGAAAGTACAGGAGCCTAAAATCGACTTAACAAAACCTCTAACAAGTACAATGTGGTGTCCCCATTTACACCATCAAAGGCTTTCCAAGACTAAATGAATGCGTTGACAAATCGCTTTGGGGAGTGGGCAGACATGCAACACATGTCACTTTTCAGTTATTCTAGGCATTTGATTGGTTGATATGCGGCTGTTACGCGTATTTGATGCCTAGGGATTAATCAAAACCGATTGCGTGCAGATGCTTATACTTTAAAACTATCGTGCATCAATTACATGCCAGTTCATAACACTTGCATATGGCATTAAAATCAGGTTATACACTCTTCAAAAAAAAAAAACGCATAGGTAGTATGTAGTTCATTGAACCTGACTACACACAAAAATCCGGTATATAAATTGAATATAAGTTATTGGAAAATGTTGGTGGCCTTACATTCGACAAACGGTGCGTCAAAACGCAGCCATTGTCGATTTGCAATGTCTTAAACGGCATGGTTTTTACACTTGTTCAAAAATGTCATAGAGGAAAACAGTAAAGCAAAATGCACGTGCAAGTTATGGCATTCGTACTCGTGGTAGTGGCTGTAAAAAGGCAACCAAAAGCCAATAATTTGTCATTCAGTTGTCAACATTTTTCAAGTTCGAAAATGCCGAGTCTCAGCGCTGCCGATCGGAACATCGCCATAGGACGTATCCAAAGAGGGGAATAGCACTCATCTGTTGCACGCCACTTCAACGTCCACCACAGCAGCATTTGCCGCATTTATGACCGACACACACAGTTCAATTCCACTGCAAACCGTCCGAGAACCGGCTGACCAAGAATTACCACCCCTGCACAGGACGGCTGTTCCACCTACGTCATCGCAATGCCACAGCAGGATGCATCCCTGGTTTGAGGAGGATGTCGGACCAGACTGTCAGGAATCATCTTCGCGAGGCTGGAATCCGACCAAGAAGACAAGTTATCGTCCCTGTTTTGCAACAGACCCATCGACAGCGACGCTTGCGTTGGGGCCATATCTTACATCCTTGGAATTTGAGAAACTGGAGACGAGTGTGGTTTAGCGATTAATCACGATTTCTTCTTCACCGGCGAGATGGAAGACAACGTGTTTATCGTCGTCGAAATGAACGTTTTGTCCCACATTGTGTACGTGAATTCTACAATTTCGGTGGCGGTAGTGTCATGGTGTTGGGGGGCATATCATTTAACACGAGATCTGACTTGGTTGTGTTTCAGGGAAATTTGGCAGCAAATCGCTTCATGAATCATATTATTCAACCTCACCTTCTTCCAATAATTGATCGCCAGAGGGAGTTGTTTCAACAGGACAACGCTCCACCACACACAGTTTGTGTCAAGGTAGAGTACCCTCATAATGCCAACATCAACGGCTTGCCCTGGCCGTCGAGATCTCCAGATCTCAACCCAATCGAACACCTCTGAGATGAACTCGATCGACGTGTACGTCAACGTCAGAACACGCAGCAGACACTCCCACAACTGGCCAACGCGTTACAGGCAGAAAGGCGCAGAATTCCGCTGGACAGAATTCGTACACTTCTCCAGTCAGTGCCGAGGAGATGCAAAGTCGTGATTGCACGAGAACTTTAGTTCAGCGCCATCCTGTGGCCTAATGTGACATGACAATGTACAGTTTTCAATGCCTTTGTACAACGACAACATGTGACTATCTAGCTCCAAAATTTCATATTTGTATCTATGATATTAAATCAAATATATCGACTTCGTCAGGTACAATAAATTTACTAAAAATCTACTTGTGCGTTTCTTTTTTTTTTGGAGAGTGTACATCTGGGAAAAAGTTACACGCCGCGCTTACTTAATATTTTCATATGAAATAGCCATTCAAAAAATCCTATCCTGTATAAGGTGACTAAAGAAGATAACACAGTGAATTACTCATTTTGAAATAAAGAAACCGACACTGATTATCTAATAAGATGATTTGAACTGTTAAATGGTAATAGTTCTCTTCCATTTGCAGATTTTAGTCAAAGACCCAGTACAAAACAAGATCAATGTAAACTCTTCCTTAACATACAATGAAGTCTGGGTTATATGGAAAATTAACAATGAAGGTGTGGTGCACAGGTCTTTTTGCAGGTAAAAAGTATTGAGCGAGTCCCTGCAGTTTTATTTATACACCAGATAGGAGTGGGTGCGTGAGTGTGGATCGAGATGGGATGTGGGAGGTGCTTGTTGAAGGTACAAATTGTGTAATACGCTGCATAAGTATTATTGGCGTTATTGATTTCGATTAAAATATTGTTATGTTACGTCAGTACATGTTAAATTCAAATAAGTAGCAAAGAAACTAGGTTACAAAGTACATATCACAAGCAACCGGCATACGAGTGAGTGAGTGAGTGAGTTGGGTTAAACGCCGCTTTTAACAGTATTCCAGTTATATCACGACGTGTCAGCTTAATGTGGGAGGAAAGTCCGAATTGATGCAGGTCTCAGAGGTTTACCACTTCGGTGAAACCCACGAGCACGGGTATGGTGCTGACAAACCTAGAAACATAATCGGGGCGAACTGGGATTCGAACCCACAATCATAGGTTTCTGGCGTGCCCAAGGGACGCGACTCTGCACAGCGAATCGCGGCGCCTAAGACGACTGGGCCACCCGTGCCCCCCAACTGGCATACGAAAACTATAAACATATAAAATATTAATTGCTCATAATGGTCCATGTAGTGGTCAGGGCGGTCGGGTAGCCGAGTGGTTAAAGCGTTCGCTCGTCACGCCTAAGACATGGGTTCGATTTTCGACATGGGTGCAATGTGTGAAGCCCATTTCTGGTGTCCCCCGCCGTGATATTGCTGGAATACTGCTAAAAGCGGCGTAAAACCATTCTCACTCACTCACCACGTCAGTGTAAATTATGTCATTGTGGAGCCCCTTCTAGGGTCATGTACAGGGAGCCATCAACGTCTTTCGCGTGGACAACCAGGACAGCAAATACACGTCTTCACGTGTACCTGGAAGTAAGAATTATAATTCATAGATGCATATTACCTATATCACGCATTGTTGATACTACAATGTGTGAAATAGGAGGCAATCAATTGGTTCCATGTTATTAAAGATAACGTCAACGCCAGAGAATAACCAGTCTCGATTATCCAACGAAACAGATTCCATTGTCATGAACACTCATACTGGTCACAGCAGTTGAAGCATGTACTAAGAATATAAGTAGAAAGAATGCGTTGGCATTCATATGCTTGTTAAAAAAAACAATGCACGCAGCCCTCCGCCAATACCCATATGCCAATCAAGACCACCACGATAGATGATGCATACAAGTTCGCCCCGCAACCCCTGTAGCTGTGTAGGCGTCTTGGGTCATATTCCTGACCGTAAAAAAACCTCAACGTAACAAAAATGTATATTGATAAAAAGTGAAAGCTTGAGACAAGTGTCATCGCTCCAACGGTAAATATACCCTAGCTGAACATAAAGTAGAAGATTCTGTTCTATCGGTGCACATGCTTTGCAAATCCTGTAATCGACCGAAATCTGCACGACAGTTTACGAACCGGGTTTCGATTGGACTATGCATAGACTCGTTAGTCCAGCTAAAATGTAACTCTATAATACCAGCCTAGTTCGGCAAGGGTGGAAACTGGACTTTTAAAGTCAGTTAACTCCCTTGCCTCGGGAAGATGGAAGTGTTCAGGTGTAAAACTAACAAACCTGTCACCAGAACACCATGTTGGCTGGGAGATAAGCAGAGTAAGGAAGATCCGATCTGATCGGGTGGTGCAGTATGTAAGTATGTTTTATCTACCCCGTCTGCGTCGGTTGTGGATCGTGCAGTTTGTCTTGAATACTTCATACACAATTAGCACATGTTGCAATGTTTCCATTATAAATAGCACAACCAAACGCAAATATTTCGAGGGTTTTATTCAGCATTTGTATATTAAACCAGTGCTCACAAAATGCATCCCTCCATTTTAAATGTTGTATACGCGGGTAAAGATTCAGTACATCGGTGGTTCTGTGTTTTTAAATCATACATGAAATTATTTCCGATTAGGGCGTCACATCTTTAGTTAATGCCAAATCAATTCTCAAACCAACCAATAGAGAGCTCCGCACAGCGAAGCCGACAATGAAAGCGCTGCACGTGTGGTTTTTTTTACGTATGAGTGAGTGAGTGAGTGAGTTTGGTTTTACGCCGCTTTTAGCAATATTCCAGCAATATCACGGCGGGGGACACCAGAAATGGGCTTCACACATTGTACCCATGTCGGGAATCGAACCCGGGTCTTCGTCGTGACGAGCGAACGCTTTAACCACTAGGCTACCCGACCGCCCCTCTTACGTATGAGTTACGAAATACTAACGGCCAGCTTGAATAGATGCCAGTCTTTACCAGAGCCTAGATTTCAATATAACTATGTCTCAATCGTTTGAAGCCAACCCAGAGTTCCTTACGACCAGACTAGAACTTCTGCACAGGAACTCGTTATTGGTCGGTAAATAAAAATATATACCCCCTATACTTACATATAGGGGGTATATATTTTTATTTACTGAAAAACACATGGATGGACTGTGTAATGTAACGAGGTGACAGAAGTACACAAGAACTCGTTATTGGTCAGTAAATAAAAATATATACCCCCCTATATGTAAGTATATGAAATTTGAACATTAAAACGAATCGATATTACTGTTGTGTGTTTTTACATGTTCAATTGTGTGCGATTCTCAAGTTAAAGAAAAATATCATGTTTGAGCGTGTAGAGATTGAATTAATAATTTACTGCAAAGATGATAAATTGGGGTGTACTTATTACAAAATGTGGGCTTTTTTTAGGTGTAAGCAGTTGCTTTTCTTTTACTTTGATAGTTTCGCTCCTGGATATTTAACATTTCAAATAGCGTTAAATGGTTTTCAGGCCAAATCCTCAACATTCAACCGCAATATTTCTGTGTTCTCTCATTTGTTTTATCGCCAGTAATCATATCAATGATAAAATACACAAATCAAAAACGTTGCAGGCAGTCGATTTTCATCTGATCGATAATTCAACACATGCATGTGAACGATACAGTCTCGGGAATGTGTTTGATTTATCTGTAAACCAATGGAACGGCCTACACTGCATTCATATTTAGCTTCTTCGATCTCAAGATAATTCTTATTGAATGGGAATATTTCAAGTGGACAACCTGTTGCCGTCAGTATGAAGCAGCAGTCGCGCATCGTGACTTGAGGCTCTGTATAGGGGTGAAAACATGTCGGCTTGGACAATGTTGGTTATTTACACACCGCCGTCACTGGAATATTGCTGAGTGCGGCGTTAAACAACAAACAAACAAACACCAGGCTATTAGTGACTGGTTCTTGTTACGTTGTTGGATATTTTATACATCCTGTCGTTTCTGAGTGCCATCATCAACACGCATAAGTGTGTAGCATCGAAGATATATTTGTGTTCTGTGGTGGTTTTCTTTGGTTGATGCATGTCATCGCTCCCAATTACGTGGGTCGCTGCTCATGATATCGATCACTGGAATGTCTGGTCCAGACTCGATAATTTACAGACCGCCGTCATATAGCTGTAATATTGCTGCGCTAAACAACAAACAAACCGACCAGTCTTGTGCTGAGATTGAAATTTCCGAATCGAGGTGGTAAAGAATCGTCTTAGAAAGCTGACATCTGATTGGCTCAAGAATCCATGCATCCTTCATTTAGATTGGGCGGGCAAAGGTCGCAAAGAGACGTTGTCAGAGGTATTGTATCGGTGTAAAAGATCTGATTTTATGTTATGAAAGATACATTCAGATACTTCACTTTATCCAACGTCTCTGCACAAATGCGGTAGATAAATATGTTTCCCCTGAGGAGTATACAACCCATGCTGCCTTCAGGCGCTAGAATGATTCTCAAATATGGGGCTCCCCATTCTCTGCTGAGTGACACGTTTTGACACTAGTGTCACGGATTATTGCGTTCAAGATTATTGCACTTATATTGCGACGTGCATGCACATGTGTGTGTGTGTGTGTGTGTGTGTGTGTGTGTGTGTGTGTGTGTGTGTGTCTGCTTGTACTCCCCCGGAGTGATGCCGATTTTTATAGAGCTTGCCCACTGAGATACCATGCCGCAGTTTAACATGAATATCCCTCTCAGACACAGTATACTTTTGATATGACGCGGCAAGGGATCGAACCCCAGCCTTTCCGCTTTACCACTATACCAAGGAGGAGTCGCGTGTTTCGGGTGTATGTACGTAGGCTATCCGTGTTTCCACAATCTGTCATCTTGGTACAGTGACAACGCCGTAAAGCCCTTTAACCAGTGTTGGTCCATTTGCTGAATTACAACCTTGTCCAAAGCGGGATACGATCTCAGCACCTGGCGCTTGCCAGCCTGGCATTTTTCATCGCTTGCCCACTCCGCCCCATTTTAATGAGATATTGTTCTCTTTTTCTTGTTCAATGTCTGCAACCCCAGAAAGGACTTGGAATGGAAAAATTTGGGGAATTTATCCAGTTTAAACAGGGTTGGTTGGGCGCGTGCCCAGTCAAATATATGGCGCCATGTAATTGAAGTTTCTCCAGAGTTATGTCCCTTGCTTTGAACAAAAAGGCGGAGTAGACACGGTGGAAAATGACGTTCTGGGGGCGGAGCAGCCGTCAGGATGGAAAGAGAATGGCGGGAATTCATGAACATTCTATTCTAATGTTGGTGTGACTCAAGTCATTATTACTGATTAATATATACACCATCTTCTAATTTAAAATTAAATGTATACAATACAAAACACACAATAGGGATTGGGCACCGCATCCGTTAAGACCCTCGCATATTTCACATTCGCCGTACATCATCACGAGCGTGACGCCACCAAACCACCTCACCCTGACACAACCGCAAGATGCATCAGATTGCTTGTGCAGTGATAGTCCTCACCCTCCTGCCCCGAGGGGGGTCGGGCGATGCTGATGATGCATTTGCAAAACAAGACTGTCGCGTGGATGCATTTCCAACACAAACGGACTTCAGCCCTGCCGCGTACCAAGGGCAGTGGTACACTGTGGCGATCAACCGTTACTGGATGGAAATTCCCTTCCTGACAAACTGGTTCCCTCCCAGTGACGTCCAGGCCGTGTACACGCTGGACGACGACGGCAACATCGGAATACAGACAGGTGGGCATGACTGACAGTTGTGTTTAAGGCTTGAATATCCCTAGCCTTGCACAGGCTCTTGTTTAATATATCGCGCGCCTAGTTGTAGGTCTGTCCTACAGACCCTGAAACAAATATATCCAATGCAGCCCATGCACGTATATAATATTTGGCAAGTCTAGATTACTGCTGTGTTTGAAAATGAAGACAGTCTTGTTTGTAAACTGGTTTTTTTTCTGTAAGATATCTTTATTTCAGAGACTATAGATATGTAAGTCTATCTAGTTAAATGTAGGGGTTAAAACGTTGTTAGATGCTATAATTACAAAATAATAAAATGAATAGCTACAGGAGTGGTAGTAGCCGCGTCAGTAGCAGAAGTAGTATAACAGTATACGTAGTAGTAGTAGTTGGCGCGACAGTAATATGCCTATTAATAGCCGCGACAGTAGCAGAACTAGGAGTAACAGTATTAGTATTTGTAGTAGTAAGTAGTAGTAGTAGTAGGCCTAGTAGTAGTACCGGCAGTAGTAGCTGTAATAGCAGCAGCCGCGACGCTCGTGTTTTATTTGTTTTGTTTGTTATTTAACGCCGCACACTGCAATATTACAGCTATATGACGGCGGTCTGTAAATAATCTTGTCTGGACCAGACAATCCAGTGATTAACATGAGCATCGATCAACGCAATTGGGATACGATGACATGCATCAACCAAGTCGGCGAGCCTGACCACCCGATCTCGTTAGTCGCCTCTTAGAACCATAGTCGCCTTTACGGCAAGCATGGGTTGCTGAGGTCCTATTCTACCCCGGATCCTCACGGGTCCCGCGACTTTAGAACTAGTAGTAGTAGTTTTGGTTTGGTTTGTTTGATGTTTAACGCCGCACTCAGCAATATCCCAGCTATATGACGGCGGTCTGTAAATAATCGAGTCTGGACCAGACAATCCAGTGATTGACATCGTGAGCATCGATCCACGCAATTGGGATCGATGACATGCATCAACCAAGTCAGCGAGCCTGACCACCCGATACCGTTAGTCGCCTTTTACGACAAGCATAGTCGCCCTTTACGGCAAGCATGTGCTTCTGAAGACCTATTCTACACCGGAATCTTCACGGGTCAGTAGTAGTAGTAGTAGTAGTACCGTAGCCGTGACTGTAGTTGTTGGCGTGACAGTAGTAGTAGCAGTCGTATGCCTATTGTAGTAGCATCCGTGACAGTAGTTGTAATAGCCACGGCAGTAGAAGGTAGCATGACTGCAGTAAGTAGTAGTAGTAGTAGTAGTAGTAGTAGTAGTAGTAGTAGTAGCGCAGACATAGCTTAGCCATGACAATTGTAGTAGTGGTGCCTGAATGTGTTTATACGTGTTTCTTACTATTTTAACAGGTGGCTCAGGTTTACTCGGATTTTTGTGTTCGGGCACAAAAGGACTTGGTGTGGCCCCGAACAAGGATTTTCCACAGAAGAACATTGTGACATTTCCGGGGACTCTTTTTGGGTGGTTCATCGGCGCCAAACCGTATTGGGTTCTCCGCACAGACTACACAGGATTCGCTGTGGTGTATGCATGCTGGGCACAGGTGGACGACGGGACGTGCAAACCGGGCAAGGAGTTTGTGTGGACTCTGAACCGGAACCCAGAAGGACATACCCCCGACCAATGGCAGCAGATCAACGCCATCATCAAAGACGTGTGTATTGACCCATCGAAGATGAAGCCTATTAAACAGACTGGAAACTGTAATATTAAAGACAAGAAGTTGCCCAAAGACGAAGTCTAGTTTCGATTGTAAGAAAGGGCTTGCTGGAATGTCTGTGGATATACAGCGAAACCCTGTTAGTCCAGAAACCTTGCTTTCCGAATAGAAGTGTGAGTAACGTCAACAAGTGCATGATGTCCATTACACCATGGTAGAGACGGGATATATGTTCTGTAAATGCTTCAAGGCATGCACTATTGTGCTTCTCTTGAAGGAGGGGCCAGCAATGTCAGGGTGGGGCATTACACGTCCGGATAAACGGGTGTCTATGTTTAATGAGTAAGGGAAACATGGGTTAACATGACATTAACTGGAGTGAGTAGGTTGTGCTCTAAGCCGGAACATAACTGAAAGTTGTCTTGCAGAGTATTGTAATATCACATGACAACATCCAACAATGTTACGGATAGATAGATAGATAGATAGATTCCACTCTGTTACAGATAGATAGATAGATGTCAACATTCCACAATGTTACAGATAAATAGATCGATAGATAGATGGCAACATTCCACTATGTTACAGATAGACAGATGACAACATTCCACAATGTTACAGATAAATAGATCGATAGATAGATGACAACATTCCACTATGTTACAGATAGACAGATGACAACATTCCACAATGTTACAGATAAATAGATCGATAGATGACAACATTCCACTATGTCACAGATAGATAGACAGATAGATAGATAGATGACAACATTCCACTGTGTTACAGATGGATAGATAGATAGATAACAACATTCCACAGCGTTACAGATGATAGAGAGAGTAAGAATGATGATTATTTGTGTTCGCGCGAGTGTGTGTCTCTGTGTGTCTTTTTGGTGTTTGTGCGTGTGCGTGCGCGTGACCTCTTTACCTGAATGTGGAGACGACTCCATGTATCACATGATTTCACCGACAAGTATTGTTTCTGTTGACTGGGCAGGCATTCATCTTGACGTTCCACTGTGAATATACTCCATTTAGTCGATTTTTTTATGTTGACATTTTGCATTGTTGTGTAGAAACGTGTTTCAGTTGTCGTTTAAATAAAAAAAGAGAAAAGAGTGTTTGTTTTTCTTTACTACGTTTCCTTCATTCATAACTACAAGGCCTATAATTCATGGAAAGAAAACGTCCAAAGCAATAGTAAGCAGTGGGTTCCGAATGCATACAAAACTATGCAAATTGCATTCTTCCAAAAGCAGAAACTTAGTGTTAAAATGAGGCGTTTGCTAAAGGTAACATTGATAACGGGGTGTTCGCCAAACATAACATTGATAACTTAATGTGTTCCGCCTAACATAACATTGATGGTGTACGCCAAACAAAACATTGTTAACGTGAGGTGTTCGCCAAACATTCGCCAAAGGTTGGTTTTAAAATAGCTTCAACTACAAGAACGGAACTTTCTGGTCTAAAATATGTAGTAAATACTCTGGATGATTCAAATCTCAGAAACAATTATTTTGTTCAATCGAACACTTCTCACTGTTACAATATATTCTCTTCGCATGACATACGAGTCCAAAAAGCTGTTGTTAACCAGCAAAATTTATTGATTATTGGGTTGAAGCGTACATAAAATAACGATAGTGTACCACACCGACTGATGCTTGCCACAAGAAGAAACAACTTCCCGAGCAATACTGTACTTTTCTGTGTAGTTTTTTTTCTGTGTAGTTCACTATTAAATATATTCAAATATTTATGTTATCCTTAAAAGCTTAAAAATAATAGGTTCTACGGGCTTCATAATGTTAAAAAAATATTTCAAATTAAAAAGTTATCGGGGAAGAAAACAATATCATCTGTTAAGCATTTCAACAATCCCAAATCATCAAAAGGAACTTTTCACCACTAGACTGATCTGTATATCAAATTACATCTGGAAATATTCGTTTTTGAAGTTCTGCTCTTTAAACGAGCACTACTCTCATTTCCAACTTATTGTCATGAAAACATAAAATAAAATGAATTATATAAAAAATTCCAAAATGCACGAGTTCACCACTAGAACTGTATAATATATGATGATCAGTGTATGGTCAACCCATACACGGTCACTCGTCCGCGCACAGCATAATGCGCGAGCCACAAGCCGAGCCAGTCATAAAAGGTAAGATAATGCTTTTAATTTGTTATACATCGTACTTCTCATCATTAGTAATGTTGGACAGAACGCGTAACGATACTCGAACAAAGAGAACTCACTACACATACATAAAATCACTTTGAATAATTCTAAGTTCCACACTGATTTTTAGCAATTCTTAAAAACACCGTGCGTGGATAAAGAGAACATTAGGTCGATTAAAACAACGAATGCTGGCTTTGCCGTCTTTAAAATATGTTGAACTTAGCAACTGCGGATATCCCCGATATTGAAAGTCCAATAGTTGTATATGATGTTTTAACAATTTTGATCATTTTATTTCTATTTTGAATACACAGGTTCCCATACCAGCAATGAAACTTATAATCTAGATTGGTCTGAATAAATGTTGTTTTAAAACAAAATTAAGAGCAAAATGGTTCTGTCAATGTCAAAATCTCTTTACTGCCGGTTACCAGATTGTAGACACAGGAACTCGTTAACGAGTTCCTGTGATTGTAGACTGGTTCCCGTATTTTCCGCTTGGTATCGCTTCTCTTCCTCCCATTCTGTCGCGGAAACGATCGGGAACCAGTCTATCCAGTTTTCTTCATTTCTTCCTCCACCTCTTTCTGCTGCCGCCGAAACTCCATATGCCATTGGTTCCTCTTCTTGTACCTCTCAATCACGTGACTACAGGTGGCGTTATACTTCTTATAACTCCACTCCTCGGGGCGAGCGATGTTACAAATTTCCTCCCGTTTTTCTCCACAGTGTTCTATAAAAGACCTGTACTCGTTAACAGTCGTCTGGTCCACCGTAGAAGACGCGAGGAAGCCTCGAATATTCAGTTCAAGCCTCTGCCAGCCGGCTCCAGCTTTGTTGTAGTCCGTAGTCTTCCGTTTCAAACTTGGAAGGAGATATTCTGCCGCCTGTGAATAGGCCACAGCAGCGGCGGAAGCACCGAGGAGTGCGACCATTCCCAGTTTTGTCACCTTTGACCCCAAACCAGTCATGGCCTGGGCTGCGGGGATGACCTTGGCGGCGGGCAACGTGGCAATTCCTGCGGCGATGCTGGAGACGACGGACACACGGAATTGGAGGTTGTCATAGTGACTGGACAGCTCATAGTTCATGATTGCCGAGTTCATGCAGCGGAACTCCATTTCCTTCAAGATGCGGATGCATCTCTTTTTGGCGGTTTTGTCATCCTGCTTGTATTGGATTTCTTCAGGGTCGGTGTTGTCGCTGAAACAAAGGTGGATGTCAGAGTACCTTGTATTCACTGATGTAGTTGTTGCTGCTTCAAGTGTTAACGACGTCGCCATCTGCCTGAGCAATTTCGGCTGACCTGTCCCTCTTTGGGACTCATGTTGTTTGGTTGGTTTGTTGTTTAACGCCGCACTCAGCAATATTCCAGCTATATGACGGCGGTATGTAAATAATCGAGTCTGGACCAGACAATCCAGTGATTAATATCCTGAACATCGATCCACGCAATTGGGATCGATGACATGTATCAACCAAGTCAGCGAGCCTGACCACCCGATCCCGTTAGTCGCCTTTTACGACAAGCATAGTCGCCTTTTACGGCAAGTATGGGTCGCTGAAGACCTATTCTACCCCGGAATCCTCACGGGTCCTGGGACTCATGTGTGTGAGTAGGTTACACATATCTATTGTGAGTTTGGTATTCACACAATTTCTGTTTTTGCATTGACATGATTTCTATTTTCGTACATTGATATAACTTCATTTTTATCCTTGGCTGCTCTGTTTATATACGTTCGAGTAGCTGTCCATCTCCCAGAAATAGAGTTAGTTTGGCCTTCGCTATTGCATCTCTTTAGGAGGTCTATGACAGATAGCGGATCTAACTGCAATTCTTGTTTAAACCGAGCCCGGGCTGGGGCGTGGTCTTGACATTCTTGTAACACGTGAGCAATGGATTCAGCAAATAAGTTGTTGCTGCTTCGTGTGTTAAACAGGTCGCCATCTGCCTTAGTAATTTCGACTGACCAGTCCCTCTTCGGGACTGTGATTCGTGGATAGGGCTTGCGTGCTGACGCTTGAGAAGGGGATGGGACGGATACGAGAGCTGAGAAGAAGATGATATTTGGATGCTATAGAGCTAAGAAGGGATGATGCTGGGATGCTAGAACTGAGAAGGGGAAGAGACGGATGCTAGAGATAAGAAGGGGGTGACATATGAATTCAAGAGCTGAGAAGGTGGTGAGGCGGATGCGAGAGCTGAGAAGGGGATACGATTTGGATGCTTGCGCTAGGACGGGGATGAGACTTGGATACTAGAACTGAGAAGGGGATGGATGGGAATGCGACCAGGATTGTTTCATAAAATATATGCTCAAGGGTCTTTAAGAGAAGCAGCACCCGGTGATCCTGGCACAGCACGCAGGATGTAACCCCCGGTGGATGCAGACACGCCCAACGAAATGCACATAAACAGCTGCCACCACACCCCTTAACGCATGTACATCAGTGTCTAAATGTAACCCCAATGCTGTGTGTACATGCAGGTCCATCTACGTGTCGTCAGAATGTTTGTTTTTTTCCTTTTCAAACTGTAACAGTTTATTAAAAAGGGACGAGATTATAGTCTCGCCTAGAAGTAATTATGTTTTGTGTCAATCAAAGCATTGTCTCTGTTATTCAGGTGTTTAAATAACTGCAAAATGTTTGCCTTTGAGCATTATATTGCAGAAGTATCAAGACTGTGGGTCGTTACAGGATTTTTGTCATACCCACCTGAAATAGAATCACGAAATATCGCGACGATTAATTGACGAAGATAGACTCATGTGTGTTCATACTTATAACGTGGAAACAAGCCATTCGCCCGAAGAGGGATATTTCTTACAGTTGCGACAAATTGCAAAGTACGCTTTTCAAGAAATGTCCATTTTCTTAGCGATAAACATCATCATTGAGTTTTCATCACGTGGTTTTAATCCGCGTAAACATCGACAGTGATGTGACGGTTATATCTAGCAGTGACTTTGGTCGATAGCGCTCTTAAATAATACATCTGCACGTACGTTTCGTGCTGGTACTGTACGTACGCTGCACATACTGCTAAATATAGTTGCGCACCCACCTGACTGCCGATCCCCTGTCATATTGTATTTAAAGCGCTGTTGACCAAGGTCACAGCTACTGTGCGTACAACCGCTCACACGTGTATGCTATAACCGCGTTTCATTCAACCGGTAAAACAAAAGTTACATAAACTGCCTGGCAAAAAAAAGGTTGACTGGATTTGACCCAAAATGACAAACATTACTTGGCCGAAAACAGTCGCCGAAACACTACAAACAAAATGTGAGTGAGTTGGGTTTAACGCCGCTTTCAACAGTATTCCAGTTATATCACGGCGTGTCAGCTTAATGTGGGAGGAAAGCCCGAAGTGATGCAGGTCTCAGACGTTTACCACTTCGGTGAAACCCACGAGCACGGGTATGGTGCTGACAAACCTAGAAACATAATCGGGGCGAACCAGGATTCGAATCCACAATCATAGGTTTCTAGCGTGCCCAAGGGACGCAACTCTGCACAGCGAATCGCGGCGCCTCAGACAACTGGGCCACACGTGGCCCCACTACAAACAAAGGCCCACCCTTATCAAATACATCAGTATCGAATAACCATTGTTTTTCTTGTTTGTTTCATTGTTAGCCACCATCAAACATGAGTGCATTCTATTTTTAGCCCGGCAGTTTCCGTTGTATACAATAGGTAATCATATCCAAGGCTAATGTATCATTGTGATCTCCTTGAATAGAACACGGATACAGATGACACACCTTTCTTAACAGCCGAACGCATAACGTCGAGAGCTTTTGATAAGAGGTAGACGTCTTATTCTACAGTAAACTACGGTTATAACGAACTCGAAGGGACCACTAACTTTAGTTTGTCATAACCGTAGTTCGTTACAAGCATATATACAGCATAACTATAGCAAATAGTCGGGACAAAAAAATCAGGTCGTTATAGCCGTCAGTTCGTTATAAGCGTGTTCGTTATAAACGTACTTTAGTGTATTTATAAAAACACGTCACGCATCACTGCTTTGTTTTTTCAACGGTACAACAAACAAATGGTTTAATCATATTCCGATTTTTTCACATGAGATACATATGACCCTTCAAGTGGTTCTTGGTTGTTCTAAGATGTAGACAGTCCAGATATTTGTCTGTTTGTTGTTTAACACTCAGCAATATTCCAGCTATATGACGGCGGTCTGTAAGTAATCGAGTCTGGACCAGACAATCCAGTGATTAATATCATGAGCATCGATCCACGCAACTGGGATCGACGACCTGCATCAACCAAGTCAGCGAGCCTGGGCCCTGTTCCACAAAGCGATCTTAGTGCTACGTTGATTGTAAGCCTATGGTTAAGTATGTGAGTTACGACCAACTTGTACTAAGATCGCTTTGTGGAACGGGTTCCGGACCACCCGATCCCGTTAGTCGCCTCTTACGACAAGTATAGTCGCCTTTTACAGATGCAGAGTTACGGGTCTACGGTGACCCATATCCGCCACTGGTGAGATCATTTTTCACTGTATGCCTCTATATTTTATCTCACCAGTGGAAGTATCTGGCGGCCGCCAGATAAAATATAGAGGCATAAAGTGAAAAATGATCTCACCAGTGGCGGATACGGGTCAGTTATGCGATAACTGGAATGTATCACGGAGACCATCTGTGCATCTTACCTGTCTGCCATGCTAGAGAAGGGCCTTGTACACAGGAATACTGTAATCCGGGTGTGTACCCTGTCGACTACCCGGCGTATATGTGGCTGTGGTGGTCCTACAATCCATGATTTACAACTCGTTTTTTGACGTTTGAAGTACGTATTCGTTTTCAACTCGGGTAGATATAAAGGGGCATTCTCGCTATCTGGTCCTTTGGAAACAAGCTTAATATAAGTGCGAGAATTCGAATCCGCCCAAAATGTTCGCGATGTCGAACTCTCGCACTTTTTGTCATATATAGTTAGCTTGTTCCCAAAGCTAGCGATCGCGAGAAAGCGAGAATGCCCCTAACAGTCTTCCATAGGTAGGCGGTTGTGCAGTGTGTAAGTTGTGCATGTCATGAATTTAATCGTCAGGCAAGGAGTGGCAGAGGAGATAAGCTGTATAACGAGGTGGTGAGGTGACATGTGGTTCAACGTCGCGTTTAAGCTTATTTCACGTATACAGCGACGTGCATGCACAGTGCAGCAACCATGAGATATCATGTTCCAGCTTTACATGAAGAGTGAGTGAGTGAAGTTTTGTGGCGCTCTTACAATATCACGGCGGGCGACACCATAAATTGGCTTCACAGTCTTTAGTCAATAAGACCAGTTTGCTATCCGGGCGGTTTTCGTCTTTTTTAATGTCTAAGAGATTTATTTTAGGGATAGGCCCTCTGTGTTTGTTTCCCGCTATTTAACCCAACCGAGGTTATTCACTCAGTAGGGTTGAGTTAATTAACTCTTAAGGGTTCATTGGTCGCGGCCGACCAAATTGGCCGTCTCTGCATGTTGTCAATTATCTTGTGTTGATTTGTCTACGCACTTTTTATTACTGTTATACAGTTGCTTCGCTAATCAGCTTGTATATTTGCTCTGATTTAATAAATCAGTGATCGTTGTCAGTGTAAACTGGGTTTTTTATCCTTTTTATTGTTAACTCTGTTTACAACTCGCTGATTACAGAAAACCTGTGGACCTAGTGCCACGTTTTCATTATTACTTTATTCTTGATTAATGACACTACATCTCCGTGACAGTCATGAAAACAAAAAAGATAATTAAATAAAGAACAAGATCCAAATCATCCAAAGGAACCGCTTCATCACTAGAACCGTATGATGATATGATGATCAGAGTGTATTCAAACCACAAACGGTCACTACTCAGCGCACAGCATTGTGAGCGAACCACCAGCAGAACCAGTCATAAAAGGTAAGATAATACTTTATTAATTTGTTATACATCGTACTTCTCATCATCAGCAATAGTGGGCGGAACACGTAACATATTTATTAATTAAGTGAGTATGGTTTTACGCCGCTTTTAGCAATATTCCAGCAATATCACGGCGGGGGATACCAGAAACGGGCTTCACATATTGAACCAATGTCGGTAATCGAACCCGGGTCTTCGGCGTAACGAGCGAACGCTTTAACCACAAGGCTACCTGACCTTGTACATATGTTACGGGTCAGTGATACGATAACTGGAATGTGCCACGGAGACCATCTGTGCATCTTACCTGCCTGTCATGCTGGAGGGTTGATTTGAACACAAGAAATACCGTAATTCAGGTGTGCACCCTGTCGACTGCCCGGCGTATATGTGGCTGTTGTGCTCTGATTGTGACATTTCATACCATCATTTTTTACGTGTGCAGTAAGTATTCTTTTTCAACTCGGGTAGATATGGAATACCGCAAGGGGCATTCTCGGGGCGTGTCACCGGGTTGCAAAACCAATCTTGTCATAGTCTAGTGACCCCCCTTCTTTTATTGTCCGGCTTCCGTCACCATTCGGCAAAGTCCGGCGTCGTCGTTGTCCAGTGTCTTTACATTCATTGTTAGAGAATGGCTGACCCATAGAGTTTATTCTCTAGCGGTTTTTTGGAATACTTTTATCATGTTTTGATTTGATATATGTTATCTCTTATGTGTATGCTTCCTTATTCCTTCTTTTGCATCCCCCGGCTGACCAGGACAGGTTGTTCTCTACGACGTCCGCGCACATAGTTAAAACCCTTCTCAAAATCAGGTGTCATTACCTCGAGCCAAAAAGTATTTCAAAAATATAATATAAAATACCAGAATATGTACCTTACTGAAAAAGTGTTATCCCAAATATATCATTTGTTACATTTGACATCTTTCAAAATGACATTGTGGATTCATAGCTTGTGTATTTGCTCTGATTTAATTACACTAAACTATGTTTATAACGAACGCGCTTATAACGAACTGACGGATATAACGAACTTACTTTTTATCCCGACTATTTGCTGTACTTATGCTGTATATATGCTTATAACGAACTACGGTTATAACGAACTAAAATTAGTGGTCCCGTTGAGTTTGTTATAACCGTAGTTTATTGTAATCAGTTATCTTTGTCGGTGTAAATTGGGTTTTTAACCTTTATATATTATTTGTTTGTTTGTTGTTTAACACCGCACTCAGCAATATTCTGGCTATATGACGGCGGTCTTTATATATTATTGTCTATTGATACAACTAGCTGATGGTAATAAAACTCTGAGCCTATTAACACGTTTTTATTATTACTTGATTCTTGTTTAGTGACATCCTGGTCACGTAGGTAATCGTCAGGCGAGGAGTGGCAGAAGAGAGAAGCTGTATAACGAAGTGGTGAGGTGACATGTGGTTCAACGTCACGTTCAAACTTATTTCACGTATACAGTGACGTGCATACATGTGTGTGTGCGACTGCTTGTACTAGTTCGGAATAATACCAGTTTTATGGTGCAAGAACCATGAGATACCATGCCGCAGCTTAAGATGAAGAGTGAATAAGCTTTTGCGCCACTTTCAGCAATACCACGGTGGGCAACACCATGAACTGACTTCACACATTGTTCCCATGTCGGGAATGTAGGGAGGCCGGGCTTGACATGCGACAAGGGAAGCTTTTTCCAATTTTATTTTTAAAGCTACCCCCCTTCTTCGCAAAGATCACGACCAGAGGAGAGTCGACGCACACAAACCATAGCTGTACACTCGGAGACCATATGCAGATCTGGAATTAACTGCCCTTGAACATTTTGAATCCGGTTTGCACAACTGCAGACCCGTGAAGATACGGGTAGAATATACAGGTCTAAAGCAACCCATGCTTGCCGTAAAAACCGACTATGCTTGTTGTAAGAGGCGACTAACGGGATCGGGTGGTCAGGCTCGCTGACTTGGTTGATGCATGTCATCGTATCCAAATTGTGTGGAGCGATGATCACGATGTCAATCACTGGATTGTCTGGTCCAGACTCGATTATTTACAGACCGCCGTCATACAGCCGGAATATTGCTGAGTGCGACGTTAAACAACAAACAAACAAAAATCACAAGTGCGGTTCAAACTTCTAATTTAGCAGCTAAGCCTATGGCTCATTTGTTTGTTCAGTGTGCAATAGGGTCCCGGGAACTTGCTGCAGTCATCGCAAGTTTTAACAAAATAATGACGAGTCACCTTATTGAACGACACGCACATGTCACTAATCACGCACATATAAGTAGGAACCTTCTTTATTAAAAAAGAACACCCAACCCTACTACGATCTGTAGCTGTCACTAACATTCACATACCGGGGACGTCTGTGCCCCAACAAATACTGATTGATCCAAGAATCCTATCAACAACACTGCTGGTAATGGGACCCATGTCCAACGCTCCAAACCCCAAGCATATTCTGTCCGCCTGCCTGAAGGTCAGTCAGTATACTCACTGCTGAATTGGAGGCAATTCATCCTGCAACTGTGTGAAGATCCGGGTTAAAAAAGATCTTCAGCAACCCACGCTTGTCGTAAAAGGCGACTACCGTATTTCCTCTATTAGACGCCCTGGCTTCTGTTTATTTCGGACAAGCCTTTGACCCGGCGTCAATGAGAGGCCCTGCTTCTATTAATACCCCATTTCACTATGACCACGGATGTCCCGAATCGTCACGAAATGGAAATATTTTGAGTTCGTAGATATCCGTAGATATATCTCAATCAATTGATCGACCCGGCGTCTATTAGAGGCCCGGCTTCTATTTTGTGCACTGAACAATTGACCCGGCTTCTATTAGAGGTCCGGCGACTAATAGAGGAAATACGGTATGCTTGTCGTAAGAGGCGACTAACGGGATCGGGTTGTCAGGCTCGCTGACTTGGTTGATGCATGTCATCGTAGCTCAAATGTGTGGATTCTTGGATTTCTCCATAAATTCCTAAAGCGTATACGTTTGACTAATGTATCAACTATATATGATACAGACACATGTCACGGTTCTGGAGTACATGTAGGCAGATCCATAATGCAGAGTACGAAAATAAGTGTGTCGTCGAATGGTCTCCTAAACCGAAAGGAAACAGTCCTGATAAAAAAAATGTGTTAACTCTCCTAACTGGAGGTCGTTGGGGGCACGGTGGGCCCAGTCGTCTAAAGCGCCGCGATTCGCTGTGCAGAGTTGCGTCCCTTGGGCACGCCAGAAACCTATGATTGTGGGTTTGAATCCCGGATCGCCCCAATTATGTTTCTAGGTTTGTCAGCACCATACCCGTGCTCGTGGGTTTCACCGAAGTGGTAAACGTCTGAAACCTGCATCACTTCGGGCTTTCCTCCCACATTAAGCTGACACGCCGCGATATGACTGGAATACTGTTAAAAGCGGCGTTAAACCCAACTCACTCACTCACTCACTACTGGAGGTCGTTAAGAAATCAATAATTAGGTTGTGAGATTGGTTGGTTGGTTTGTTGTTTAACGCCGCACTCAGCAATATTCCAGCAATATGACGGCGGTCTGTAAGTGAGTGATTGAGTATGGTTTTACGCCGCTTTTAGCAATATTCAAGCAATATCACGACGGGGGACACCAGAAATGGGCTTCACACGTTGTACCCATGACGGTGGTCTGTAAATAATGGAGTCTGGACCAGACAGTCCAGTGATTAATATCATGAGCATCAATCCACGCAATTGGGATACGATTACATGTATCAACCAAGTCAGCGAGTATGACCACCCGATCCCGTTAGTCGCCTCTTACGACAAGCATAGTCGCCTTTGACGGCAAACATGGGTTGCTGAAGACCTATTCTACCCGGATCTTCACGGGTCTTAAGTTGTGAGAAGAGGTGCCGAGAGCGCTAACAGTCAACACTATTCCAAGAAAATTACGCCAGAGTCTGGGACAGGCAAACAAGTAGTTGATAGCATGAGCAAATTTCCACACCGCCGACGTTTGATGACGTACAAGCGGTGAGGTCACTCTTAGTGAGCGGTATACACGCAATTTGCAAGTTCAAGTCTATCTTGCATTTTGGTTATAAAAATAAATTTACACAATGCACACTGATCATGTAAGATGACGTAAGGCTTTTCATCAAATAATCTTCTAGTACAATACCAAATTCAACACATATATCAAATCCTCAATGAATGAATAGAAAATCGATACGTTATACAAAGATATTGACATAAGTATCTTTGTGCGTTGATTAATAATTATTGATGTAAGCATTTGTCATGATCAAACCTAAATGTAAATGGTAATATTGCTTATGATAAGATACTGGAGTTTTTCCTTGGATCTGATTTCATCCACGAACAGTGAAAAGAAAATAACCACTTGGAAAAGACGCTTCAACAGTAAAACGCGCCATGCGCCCAAGCTCCGCTCTGACTTTTGATGTACACTTTTAAATGTTGGCAGAAGGGTGAATTGGCTGATTTGTTTTTCATTCAAGAAACTGTAGGTCCTTGAGAAATAAGTATTAAATTACCATAATATTAAATTGGATATCAAATTATCTTTCGTTTCGCTTTGATTTGAACTTTGTAAATGAGTGTTCATTCCACATCAATATGAAATGAATAAAGTACTGGCATACCTGTACATAATTCTTTCTTTTTTCAATCAACAAATAAACATTTTTACTGAAATAATGATTACAGAAGCTGAAATTACTTATCATTGTTATCTTGTTAACTAGATCCTGTAAATTAGATTATCAAAAGACGACTTCAATACAGCATAATAACTGCTCCCTTATATTTACTTCCGGTTCAATTTTGATCGCGCTATCGCACTTTAAGGGAAAACTTTTTGAAATGCTTTGAATCAACGCAACGTTTGTCTTGAGAGAAGTTCGTCAAGTAAGTTTTTATCATTATCTTAAAAAGATAACTTCTTGGGTATCTAAGATGCCCAGATTTGAAGTTGTCACAACAATCCGATGCCAGTGAATCAACAGGCGAGCCTTGTGAAGTTGTATTGTCAATATTGTCAACAAACATTGCATTGCTAAGCTAGGTCCATATTTGAAATTGTTATTCTAAGACAATTAGGTGCAATTGCTGATGAGAGGTTTTGCACTTTGAATGCCCCAATATACCGGCAATTTATCGTCTGATCATTCATTATGAAAACAGACGTCTTGAAATTATAGATCGATGGACAGGGTGACACGGTGAGCTCATTGAACTGAATGTCTATGATATGCATAAAAACATCTAAACAATAAGTTTGTGTTGGATTATTGAAAATTGCTTTCAATTATTTAGTTGTTTGGATCTTTGGATGTTTCAGTTATTTAAATTATCACAGGCAGCTTGGGTTGTATACTCCCCAGGGAGCTGAGAATTGAAATCGAGTGCTCGCTGATCCATTGACCGGTAATAGCCTGCAACCTCGGGGTATCGCGGTACTTGTCATGTACGCTAAACGGAACAAAATGCACTCACTAACCTTTATGATTATTCGTGTTCTCTATATCAGATGTCATTTATTTTATCTAACAATGCATATTTTACTGATAAAAGTTCATTATTTACATTAGTAGCTCCGAGTAAAAGCCGGGCCTCGCGCTCTGTTTGACAAGGGAGAGAACTCCATCGTATCGCGGTACAGAGAAAAGTTGTGTATTGAGGTCCGAATTGGACAAAAAGAGGACATAATTCTACCAATCACTTGGTACGATCCTGCCAGACATCAGTGATTTGCCCAGACAAGTGCAAAGACAGCACAAGTAAAATTCTAAATGTGTTATCAGCAATAGGTATTCAATGCATATTTACCGAAAAGTCAACATCAAAATATCAGAAATGATATTTTAAGATTGTTTAAAAAAAATTAGATGGCAATAATTTGTCACAAAATGGAAAAATGTTAAAAGTCAACAATAAATATATAAAAAGCACTCCTAGTATGGCCAAAGTATGTATTTATCTTTTGGTTACTAGTGAAGAACGTATTTCTACGTTTGGCATTATGGCCCTTATGATATCCCAATAGATTCTTGGCACAGAGCGGGGAAAAATGTGCGGACTACGTAACTTCCGTTACCTCATTAGTCGCCATGAATATGCAGATGATCTAGTTCAGGTCGATCGAGAAAGTTTACTTGGGGAACTACGGGTTATATTGTTGGCCATTGATAGATGGGGGTAAGGCAATATTACAAAAGATGCCAGTAATATGTATCAACGCATTAATAACTCCTAACTTACAGCAGACGGAACATTCCGAGGAAATTGAAATTGTTTACGAAGTGTGCACTTCCTGGTTACTGATTAGCATTAATAGACAGCTGCCAAGAGGCGTGTCCCGCGTGAACTATCGGAAATCACAAATGCCGCGATACGATGAATGCCGCGGTACCATGGGGTCCGAGTATAATAGTGTAGCTCTATGAGTATCCACTTGGTGGATGGAAACTAGTGCATTATTATTAAAGGGAAACAGGACTCTCAGTCGTCGAGCAGGCGCCATTCTAATTATCCCGCATAATAAGCAGATGCCAATTAGCGACAACGACCCAAGAAACTGGGCTTCAGACAAACAAGGGAGGACCTCGTTGACAGTGAGGGGGAATCCCTTTGAATCATCGCATTTGAAGGATGATACTTACTAAAACTTTTCACCTTGCAAATTCGTGTGCATGTGTAAATATGTATGTATGTATGTTTAGTATACAGCAAATATGTGTACATATTACTTTTACAACAAAGAAGTTCAGTTCATATACTCAAAACATAGGCATATTACTACTCAACTATTACTACTCCCTTCTGGTCATGCATGCTTGTATAAACCCGGCACCTCTAATTGTCATCATTCACTTGATGCTCAGTTAATGACTACGAGGTAGAATAGGTCTTCAGCAACCCATGCTTGCCGTAAAACGTGACTATGCTTGTCGTAAGAGGCAACTAACGGCATCCGGTGGTTAGACTCGCTGACTGGTTGATGCATGTCATCGTATCCCAATTGCGTGGATCGATGCTTATGATGTCCATCACTGAATTGTGTGGTCCAAACTCGATTATTTACAGACCACCGTCATACAGCTGGAATATTGCTGAGTGCGGAGTTAAACAACAAATCAAACGAACTAACGACTCTGTTACGAGTATAATTAGTGCTAGAATCACTCAGATTACCTGTGCAAAATAATTCAATTATGTTCACCCCTGCGTTTGAGAGTGCACTTCAGCAGTGCTCCATTGATTTGTGAGTTCTACCCTGTATCGGCTGAGGTACACCAGGGTTTTTGTCAGTATGAGCATTCGAGGTAGTACAGGCTTGAAGGAAACACATGTGTTGTGTTTTTATGTGGAATGTTGAGGTGACAGCTAAAGACTGAGTAAGTATGCAGCATTACGCTGGAGGTACAACGCTCAGTGTCAGGGGTATATCAATCAGTGGCATCTGTGTATATAACAATGCTTAACAGAACGGAAAATACAATTTAAGTCATCATGCCTAGTGATAATTGATCTCAAATTTTTCACATTTTTATTGACCAAGTTTGTTATTACCTGTTCGTTCACCTGAATTCCCTGAAGGGATACTATGTAGTGTCTTACTCCGCATAATATGATGTTGACCATTAGCTTCACCCTTTTAAGTCTTGTATGCATTAATCAACAACAAAAACACATGTCAGTTTGGCTGCAAGTCTTTATTCTATATCCTTTGTTATGATGTGAGGCTTCTCATTCTTTGGCGCCGAACACAAGGCAAATTTTGAATCCGCGAAGAAAAAGCTGAGCCACATTTCAATACTTTCAAAGTTCAAGTGTTGTTTCCCATTAACACAAATAACATGTAGGGAGATATTGTCATGTACAGACATAGCAAGTTTGAAATACAATTCAAACAATATGTATTCCTCAGGTGCTGGGTCAAGGTTACATTAAGTACCAGTAATAAATGATTAATTTCACCATGCTTACCATGGTAACAACATTTTTATAATTAAGGCCAGGCGTTTTATATTTTTCGGAATACGGACCTGCTGACTGTAATTTATGAGAAAATGTAAAAAAAATATATCATATTTCCATTATTTTTTTTCCTGCCGATAGCCACGTTGTCAGTTATTTTATTTGTTATCATCACCTTTTAATAAAAAACATGAATTTACCGTTGTAAACGAGTAAAGCGATACATAATCGATCTTTGTTGATCTTGAAGCCAAACATGAATAGCCTCCCTTGACAATTATCTGTGTTGTAAGTGGTAGAATTTTTATTGTAACAAGGGGCTTAATTGTCACAAATGGCGGTCTTTTGAGCACAGAATATGTTCATAAAGTATGCCAGAGGCATTCTGCATTAAATATGCATGGGATATTGCTGAGTGCAGCGTAATACAACAAAGAAAGAAAGAGACTATTTCAGTGAACTTCGAGCCCCGATATTGTAAGTAAGCCTGTTGAGGGGCTCTATTGGATCTGCTGGATCCAATTATCCTTGCTGTACTGTATTGTGTTGTGCTGTACATGGCTGTTTGGGATTCCGGATAAGAATATCGGGTACAGACTCCCAGCACCTCTGCTTCATTGCTTGGTTTAAGAGGTGACCAAATGGATTGGACGATCAGACTGTGACTTGGTTGATTGCATGTTATCGTGTCCATATTGCATGTGCCATTGCTCAAGTGTCAATCACTGGAGTGACTGTTTGACCGGCCTCAAAGTATACATTTTTCCCAAGGAGCCATTGGCTCCTAATATTGTTTTCAGGGAGCTATTGTGAACTTCAAGAAGTCATGTGAAAAATTAAGGAGCAAAACATTAAGATTGTTGTCAGTAATGTATAATACTGTTAAAGCATATCAAATACTGATATCTACCTTTGATTTAACAAGCTTTGTTGTTATTTATGTTGTTGTAAATACTTGACAAGATTATCAATTGTTTTTTTACCTCACACACCATATTATGAAGGGGCAAACGGGTAGCCTTGTGGTTAAAGTATTAGCTCGTCACGCCGAAGACCAGGATTCGATTCCCGACATGGGTACAATGTGTGAAGCCCATTTCTGGTGTCCCCCTCCGTGATATTGCTAGAATATTGCTAAAAGCGGCGTAAAAACATACTCACTCACTCACTTACTCATATTATGAAATTTGAGTTCAGTCAATCAGTATTTATTAATGTATTGTTATTCTGTCTCTAATATTATGCGGGATGATTTTGCCAAGTAGCCAAGTGGCGACGACTTAAATAATATTGGTTGCCAAGAGGAAATGTCAATGCCATGGCGACCAAAGAAGTTGCAACTTTGAGGCCTGAGTTGAGATAATTATTTTCAGACTGCTGTCTTATTGCTAGAATATCACTGAATGCAGCATTAAACGCCAAACAAACAAAATGGGGTGGTTTCTGGTTAAGCATTGTTAAGACTAATGAGAGAAGACCTAGGCTCCGCCCAATTCACAATTCCAACAAGTTTACTAACAGGGTTTTCAACTGCTACAGAATGGAGGCCAAGGTGTCGTGTGATAAACATTAGTTTGAATCGTGGAACGAAATGTGGACTCTGACAGTATCTACAGTTAGGCAGGAAATAGTCCTCCTGGAATGTTCAGTGTACTTGTGCTCCCCACACAACACGAGGATTTGCAGGGACTCTCAATAGATTTCATTGCAAATTGAAATTTCTGGATTTTCTTTCTTGACTTTGGTCAAACAAATAAAAATTGAAAACTTCTTTTTGCTTCAGATGGCAAAATGCACAAGCTTTTTGCCGAAGTCCTTAACCAGAAGGATCTGTCTAAAGCAGGGGAGCTGTTCTCTTTGGAGGATAAGGACATAGAAGCCGACCTCTCGGACATCATTGACCGCATACATGACATTGCTGATACTGCCGACTATGACAGCAACGATAACGATCAGAGCGTGGTGGAGATCTGCATCACCAGGATCACGACAGCCATCAGGTAGGCAAGGATAATCAAGCACTGTTAGTTTGATTATGCCCTTATTTCACTACGACCATGAATATCCCGAATCACCCCGAATAGGCAAATTTTCATGTTCGTAGATAAATCTCAATCATTTCTTGAAGTTCTTAAATGAATCTTTTTTGATGCCCAAATATTTGTACAGTTCGTTGGAGTTTGTCGAATTGGCGAGAAAGTTTTTGTTTGTGGAAGGGTCCACGAATTGCAATTTCATGGCTGTATCGTAATCTATTTGTAATTAATTCTTATGTACCGAAACAGCTTCGTAATTGATTCGTTTGCATTCTTGGCTATTCTTAGCGATTCGTGGCTACAAACATTTCTTGACCTCAACCCGAAAACACCCCAAAACAGCCATGAATGTCCCGAGTCAACTACGAATCATGTAAGAATTAAGTAAGAACAACATTCAGCATATTCGTAACTTAGTCGTAGGTGATTCTTACAATTCGTGCATGATCTGTACATGGATCTTGTAATTGGTACATGTTTCTTAACCCATTCCTGGCACTCTTCATATTTTTCAACCCAATTAGGCATGAAAGTTGGCATTATTGGCCAAATCATCACAAATTTCGAAAGTTTCCGATTCAGAGTGCTCCACGATATTCGTGGTTGTAGTGAAAAGGGGTATTAGCATGATGAAACAGACTCCGATGTGTTGGCTGTGTGTAAAGATACAGCAATAAAGTATTGTAACCCCAAACAAGGCCCTCGATACAATACAGTAAACTACGGTTATAACGAACAAAAAGGGGCCATTAATTTTAGTTTGTTATAACCGTAGTTCGTTATAGGCACATATACAGACTTTTTGCTGGAAATGGACGGGACTCAAAAACAGTTAGTTATATCCGTCAGTTCGGTATAATCGTGTTCGTAATTAACGTAGTTTACAGTGGATTGATTTGGAACCCTTGTATCACAATACATTCAGCACATTACTTTACAAGTTATGATGGTGTAAAAACATGTGATAAAAAAACAAACTGTTCAACCGATTGTCTGGTATTTCCCTGTTGTCTTTATGTATCATAACATTCACAGTGCCCTCTATGCCATATGTTTGTGTCCATCTATATCCCATCTTTTGTAACTGTAATATAACCACAACTGATTCAGTTTCTAGGTTTGTCAGCACCATACCTTTGCTCGTTGGTTTCACCAATGTAGTAAACATCTGAGACCTGCATCACTTTGGACTTGGGGCGGTCGGGTAGCCTAGTGGTTAAAGCGTTCGCTCGTCAAGCCGAAGACCCGGGTTCGATTCCCGACATGGGTACAATGTGTGAAGCCCATTTCTGGTGTCCCCCGCCGTGATATTGCTGGAATATTGCTAAAAGCGGCGTAAAACCAGACTCACTCACTCACTCACTCACTCACTCACTCACTTTGGACTTTCCTCCCATATTAAGCTGACATGCCATGATATAACCATATACCATGTATACATGTATGTATATATATATTAATAATTTTCAAACAAACAATCCTGATAGTGCAACACGTCAGTTTTAAATCACACACATTCAAGTACACACGTCTTCTTCTCATGTATCCGCTTCAGCCGCTAACCACACAGGCTGCGGCCACCTAAAGAGCCTCCTGGTGGTAATGAAGGCCGGGAATCAACCAAGCGCTGACGTTGAAGTGACACCAATACGCAGGATATTCAAGGTCCTTTTTCATGTGGTCAGGCTCGCTGACGTGGTTGGTGCATGTTATTGATCCCAATTGCGTTGATCGATGCTTATGATGTCAATCACTGGATTGTCTGGTCCAGACTCGATTATTTACAGACGGCTGTCATATAGCTGGAATATTGCTGAGTGCGGCGTTAAACAACAAACCAACCAACCAACCTTTTTCACGCGCTTCAGTGACTTTGCCCCTGAAAGCAAAAAAACGTCTCCTGTAGTAGGAATTGAAAATCCGCATCCAAAAGAGGCCACCCTGACTGATAACTAAAAAGTGGTGTTACATGCTGTGATCGTGGTCATATGACTGAAAACATTTCAAAGATGCAATAAACGTCACTGACTCATTTGCACCTCCTGTCAAAACAGGGAGACGTCTAGTATAGAGAAGCATGTCAAGTCCCTGGTGCGTCTCCTGGAGATGTGCCACACACACAACCTCACCCCCGCCAAGAAGGAGGAAGACCCACCCCACGTCAAGATAGCCTCTGACGTCATGAGCTGTCTCTTCATGGTAGGAATAGTCCTGTACTGTGGTGGGAGTTAAGCATGGAAGTCAAGGGTCCTTGTGATAAACCTAACGTTAAAAGATTTCGGGGATCTCTGTAGCAGAGGATCTCAAAGACCACAGGACCCCTTAACTTCAAACACTGTCATATTCAGCACTACTAAATCCTTTTGAATTACATTATCGTCATGTTCTGATGTTCAACCCCAAATTTACAATTTAATCCTTATTGTTAGGTTCTGTTAACATGGTTATGTTAGTGTTAGGGTTAGGTTAGGTTAGGTTTGTTTATGTCACTGACTTCACCGATGATTGTCATCACAACCCTTGTGTATGTATAACAGGCTTCTCTACTCCAGTATAACAATATCTACTCTACTGTATAAACATTGCCTCCTACTTGTATATGTACTTGTCAACGACACTCTGTCTATCACTTGCTTGATAACGGTGTTCATCCATAGATTCTTATCCTTTCTTAGTACTCCAACCTCTAAATGCCTATTAAAGAAGGAAATTTACACTTGAGGCTAATATGTTATGATAACAACCCCAAATTTATGAATGAGTCTGATGCATTCTGAAAACAACCCCAAAGTTAAACTTGTGACTGATGTGTTCTGATAACAACCCCAAATTTACAATAGAGTCCAATGAAAGTCTATGGGAGCAAATCTGAAGGACCCTTGGACCACCCTTAGTTTTAAACACCAAATGTTTGATGTACCCTGATTTTGATTGTGGCAGCCATTGCAACACCCTGTTGCAGCCACCATTTTATCGTAATTACGTCTTATATTATGCTAAATTTAAGACAATTATGCAAATGAACTGAACGACAACAAAACAGTTTGCAACAGTGTTTCCTAGAAGTTCTAAAATAGCTTTTAATGCAAAGTGATGAAAGTCTTTGACATTAACCTGAATTAATCCAGAGACCTTTATGTTTTCATCCAACATTAATCTGGTGACCATTGATTAGTGACCACTGTCCTACTCTGAAGATGACCATTGGTGTCTCTCTGTTTGCAGCACTACAACAAGCAGTGTGTGATGACGCTGGCTATCCCGGCAGTGGTGCAGTTCCTGGACTGTGAGAATAAAGACCTTTCACGGAATGTGTCCAGCTACCTCTCCCTTGCCACCATCGACAATGCTGACCTCTTGGCTAAACACATGGCCCTCATCGTAGTTAGTGTCCTGCGTGGTAGGTAGCTGTAGCGTGCTGTGGGGTAGGTGACTAGTGCTGTGTGGGGTAGGTGGCTGTAGAGTCCTGCATGGTAAGTAGCTGTAGCGTGCTGTGGAGTAGGATGCTGTAGTGTCCTGTGGGGTAGGTGGCTGTAGTGTCCTGTGGGGTAGGTAGCTGCAGTGTCCTGTGGGGTAGGTGGCTGTAGTGTCCTGTGGGGCAGGTGGCTGTAGTATCCTGTGGGGTAGGTGGCTGTAGTGTCCTGTGGGGCAGGTGGCTGTAGTATCCTGTGGGGTAGGTGGCTGTACTGTCCTGTGGGGTAGGTGGCTGTACTGTCCTGTGGGGTAGGTGGCTGTAGTATCCTGTGGGGTAGGTGGCTGTACTGTCCTGTGGGGTAGGTGGCTGTAGTGTCCTGTGGGGTAGGTGGCTGTAGTGTCCTGTGGGGTAGGTGGCTGTAGTGTCCTGTGGGGTAGGTGGCTGTGGTGTCCTGTGGAGAAGGAGTCTGTAGTGTCATGTGGAGTAGGATGCTGTAGTGTCCTGTGGGGCAGGTGGCTGTAGTATCCTGTGGGGTAGGTGGCTGTACTGTCCTGTGGGGTAGGTGGCTGTAGTATCCTGTGGGGTAGGTGGCTGTAGTGTCCTGTGGGGTAGGTGGCTGTAGTGTCCTGTGGGGTAGGTGGCTGTAGTGTCCTGTGGGGTAGGTGGCTGTGGTGTCCTGTGGAGAAGGAGTCTGTAGTGTCATGTGGAGTAGGATGCTGTAGTGTCCTGTGGGGTAGGTGGCTGTAGTATCCTGTGGGGTAGGTGGCTGTAGTATCCTGTGGGGCATGTATCTGTAGTGTCCTGTGTGGTAGGTGGCTGTAGTGTCCTACGTGAAATACATGACCTATGTGTGATATGTGACCCGTGTGTGTGTGTGATACATGACCTGTGTGTGTGATACATGACCTGTGTGTAATACATGACCTCTGTGTGTAATACATGACCTCTGTGTGTAATACATGACCTCTGTAATACATGACTTCTGTGTGTAATACATGACCTGTGTGTGTGATACATGACCTGTGTGTAATACATAACCTGTGTGTGTCATACATGACCTGTGTAATACATGACCTGTGTGTGTGATACATGACCTCTATGTGTGATACATGACCTGTGTGTGTGAAACATGACCTGTGTGTGTAATACATGACCTCTGTGTGTGATACATGACCTGTGTGTAATACATGACCTGTGTGTGTAATACATGACTTGTGTGTGATACATGACCTGTGTGTGTAATACATGACCTGTGTGTAAAACATGACCTGTGTGTGTAATACATGACTTGTGTGTGATACATGACCTGTGTGTGTGATACATAACCTGTGTGATACATGACTTGTGTGTGATACATGACCTGTGTGATACATGACTTGTGTGTGATACATGACCTGTGTGTTTGATACATGACCTGTGTGTAATACATGACCTGTGTGTGTAATACATGACTTATGTGTGGTACATGACCTGTGTGATACATGACCTGTGTGTGTAATACATGACCTCAGTTTGTTATACATGACCTCTGTGTGTGATACATGACCTGTGTGTTATACATGACCTCTGTGTGTGATACATGACCAGTGTGATACATGACCTTTGTGTGTAATTCATGACCTGTGTGTGTGATTCATGACCTGTGTGTAATACATGACCTCTGTGTATAATACATGACCTCTACATGTGATACATGACCTGTATGTGTGATACATGACCTGTATGTGTGATACATGACCTGTATGTGTGATACATGACCTCTGTGTGTGATACATGACCTGTATGTGTGATACATGACCTGTATGTGTGATACATGACCTCTGTGTGTGATACATGACCTCTGTGTGTGATACATGACCTGTGTGATACATGACCTCTGTGTGTGATACATGACATCTGTGCGTGATACATGACCTGTGTAATACATGACCTGTATGTGTGATACATGACCTGTGTGTGTGATACATGACCTGTATGTGTGATACATGACCTGTATGTGTGATACATGACCTGTATGTGTGATACATGACCTGTATGTGTAATACATGACCTGTATGTGTGATACATGACCTTTGTGTGATACATGCCCTCTGTGGTGTCTAGGTAACTACCAGATGAGTCAGGTGATGCCACAGATCTACGCCCAGAACCCGGTGCCGGTGGACGACCATGTAGATGACCTGGTAGCCTTGCTGGACAAGTGTGACTCCTCCGAGAAAGTTTCCCTCATCCAGGTCTTTGGTTCCATTGCCAAGAAGAAACCCCAGGTAGATGCAGCAGCAAATGGATGTCATGTGTCTACACTGAAATATCTTTGTTGTCATGGTTAAAGACTTCTTTTGCTTCATGATGTCTTCACTTATATGTATGCTGATAGAGTTACCATGTCTGTTGTCAGGGTTATTATGGAACTTGATTCAACAGGCACCAGGTGATTTTGACATAAAAAAAACCTAGTTGCACCAGACAAAACCAAGTTGCACACTAGTCCCACAAATTTATCAGACTGAGAGTTGAATGTGCACCCACTGTTTGATGATGTCAAGCCCCCCTAAAAAAAACCCCCAACAACAACAACAAAAAACATGGCAAATAACACATAACAGGTTTTGTTGACGTAGTATGGTATATAAAGCTTAGGGGTACTGAGTGTGTTCAAAGACAGATTTTGTATGGACAAGTAAGGGTTAGCCACAAATTTGAAAGATTTAGACATGCACTTTGCCTTGTAGACTTAAATATTAGGTTGTATATTTTCAATAATAGTTTGCACTGGTGCATGTTTTATATTGCTTATTCGAGCCCTGGTGATTCAATATATATTCCACTGTCATATTGCTGGAATATTAATAGGTGGATACAACAAACAATTAAACAATATTCATATATTACATACAGCAGTATATGTGTGCATTGTATATAGATCGTATAGTATTTATTCAGATTGTGTCATGACATATTTTCATGCCTGCATCACATTGTGGAATATTTCTGATCAGGTATATACTCACTCCTCTCCATGATTGTGGAAGTCGATAATATATAATTTTACACGATATACGACTTTTCCATTGGACGAGTTTTCAAAATATAGTCTAAAACATGCTTTCTCTTTTATTCTGTTCATTCTCAGCTTTTAGAGGAACATGTTCCCAAGTTCTGTGAGCTGTTCCCTAGCAACATGCTGGGAGCTGTGGTGATGCTCATGTTTGTTGACATGGCAACTGACAAACCCAAAACATTTGTTGAGCATCGTGCAAAGCTGGAGGAAGTTGCAGATCAGCAGCCAATACTGGTGCCACAGGTTGCCCAGATCATGGGTGCCATCGGCACCATCAGTCAGGTCAGTAGTGGGGAATATCAAGCAGTAGACAATACTGGTGCCACAGGTTGCCCAGATCATGGGTGCCATCGGCACCATCAGTCAGGTCAGTAGTGGGGAATATCAAGCAGTAGACAATACTGGTACCACAGGTTGCCCAGATCATGGGTGCCATCGGCACCATCAGTCAGGTCAGTAGTGGGGAATATCAAGCAGTAGACAATACTGGTGCCACAGGTTGCCAAGATCATGGGTGCCATCGGCACCATCAGTCAGGTCAGTAGTGGGGAATATCAAGCAGTAGACAATACTGGTGCCACAGGTTGCCCAGATCATGGGTGCCATCGGCACCATCAGTCAGGTCAGTAGTGGGGAATATCAAGCAGTAGACAATACTGGTGCCACAGGTTGCCAAGATCATGGGCGCCATCGGCACCATCAGTCAGGTCAGTATTGGGGAGTTTCAAGCAGTAGACAATACTGGTGCCACAGGTTGCCAAGATCATGGGCGCCATCGGCACCATCAGTCAGGTCAGTATTGGGGAGTTTCAAGCAGTAGACAATACTGGTGCCACAGGTTGCCCAGATCATGGGCGCCATCGGCACCATCAGTCCAGTCAGTAGTGGGGAATATCAAGCAGTAGACAATACTGGTGCCACAGATAGCCGAGATCATGGGCGCCAGTAGACAAAACTGGTGCCACAGATAGCCCAGGTCATGTGCGCCAGTAGACAAAACTGGTGCCACAGATAGCCCAGATCATGTGCGCCATCGGCACTGTCAGTCAGGTCAGTTGTGGGGAATATCAAGCAGTAGACAATACTGGTGCCACAGGTTGCCCAGATCATGGGTGCCATTGGCACCGTCAGTCAGGTCAGTAGTGGGGAATATCAAGCAGTAGACAATACTGGTGCCACAGGTTGCCCAGATCATGGGTGCCATCGGCACCATCAGTCAGGTCAGTAGTGGGGAATATCAAGCAGTAGACAATACTGGTGCCACAGGTTGCCCAGATCATGGGTGCCATCGGCACCATCAGTCAGGTCAGTAGTGGGGAATATCAAGGCCTAGACAATACTGGTGCCACAGGTTGCCCAGATCATGGGCGCCATCGGCACCATCAGTCAGGTCAGTAGTGGGGAATATCAAGCAGTAGACAATACTGGTGCCACAGGTTGCCCAGATCATGGGTGCCATCGGCACCATCAGTCAGGTCAGTAGTGGGGAATATCAAGCAGTAGACAATACTGGTACCACAGGTTGCCCAGATCATGGGTGCCATCGGCACCATCAGTCAGGTCAGTAGTGGGGAATATCAAGCAGTAGACAATACTGGTGCCACAGGTTGCCCAGATCATGGGCGCCATCGGCACCATCAGTCCAGTCAGTAGTGGGGAATATCAAGGCCTAGACAATACTGGTGCCACAGATAGCCGAGATCATGGGCGCCAGTAGACAATACTGGTGCCACAGATAGCCCAGATCATGTGCGCCAGTAGACAAAACTGGTGCCACAGGTTGCCAAGATCATGGGCGCCATCGGCACCATCAGTCCAGTCAGTAGCAGGGAGTTTCAAGCAGTAGACAATACTGGTGCCACAGGTTGCCCAGATCATGGGTGCCATTGGCACCATCAGTCAGGTCAGTAGTGGGGAATATCAAGCAGTAGACAATACTGGTGCCACAGATAGCCCAGATCATGGGCGCCAGTAGACAAAACTGGTGCCACAGATAGCCCAGATCATGTGCGCCAGTAGACAAAACTGGTGCCACAGATAGCCCAGATCATGTGCGCCATCGGCACCATCAGTCAGGTCAGTTGAGGGGAATATCCAGCAGTAGATAATACTGGTGCCACAGGTTGCCCAGATCATGGGTGCCATTGGCACCATCAGTCAGGTCAGTAGTGGGGAATATCAAGCAGTAGACAATACTGGTGCCACAGATAGCCGAGATCATGGGCGCCAGTAGACAAAACTGGTGCCACAGATAGCCCAGATCATGTGCGCCAGTAGACAAAACTGGTGCCACAGATAGCCCAGATCATGTGCGCCATCGGCACTGTCAGTCAGGTCAGTTGTGGGGAATATCAAGCAGTAGACAATACTGGTGCCACAGGTTGCCCAGATCATGGGTGCCATTGGCACCATCAGTCAGGTCAGTAGTGGGGAATATCAAGGCCTAGACAATACTGGTGCCACAGATTGCCAAGATCATGGGCACCATCAGATTGCCCAGGATGTGATAATGGCAATGTGTTCTGACCTGGAATTCTTGCAGTGGCATGGCAGAAGTGGGTCCAAGGTTGGTTGTAAGGGTTGGCTTAATGGGAAGTGGGTGGTCGTAATGAAGATTACTAGTACCTAGGAAGACCTAGGGCTTTCCTCCCACATTAAGCTGACACGCCGTGAAAAACTGGAATACTGTTAAAAGATACGTTAACCTAAACTCACTCACTCACTCACTCACTCACTCACTCACTCACTCTACAAAGCCTATCCTGAAATTTATCCTATCTCACACTTTGATTTTCATCCTTCACCATCTATCCTTGTGTGGAAACGACCTAAAATAGTATCCAGCTTCTTAAAACATTTCGCTTGAACACATCCCAGCAGTCACCACTCAAAAAAATGTGTCATGCACAGTAATCCCATGTGCTGTGACGGAACCTGGCCTGATCACTTGACTACCCCTCCCACATCATTCTCTTTCTCATTGCCACTGTGTGTGACCGTGTTTCGATTGGTGGAGAATTGATTATATTTTTTTAAAAGTTTTCTCTTATCTCATCATCATCTTCAGCAAATTATGGGAACTGATCATGATAAATCACCGGTCTGTAAGAATTGCAGACATACTTATTCATCAGCCAATCCACATGATATTTGTTGTGAATGCTGTGGTATTTATAAACCTGCTAGCAGTTGCCTGAGGAAGCCTTCCGTACTTGTCTTCGCAAATGCCAGAATTTGGGTCAAATATCGGCCCTGCATAATCCTTCTCTGTATAGTATTCTTTATCTGCTTAGATTGGTAATGCCTTTTATCATTGTAATAGTATGGCCAATAATATGTCGCAGAGGTCTAATGATAAACCACATGAAATTTTACATTGGTCTTCTGTTTCATGACCAGACGGAAGCTAAGAAGTCGATGAACTATCTGGTGAGTAGGTTAACGACAACAGAGCCAGCCCTATTACCCACAATCCTCCAGGAGATACGAGGTATTGGACTGAATCACAACACCCTATTGGTAGACAACATGGAGGAAGTTGGAAAGCTGGCATCCAGTGGATCCAGTGCAGTTCGACTCTTTGTTCAACAAATGAAAGAAGATCTCAAGAAATAGTAGGTGTCCCTAATCTCCAGTACATGATTTGCTCCACGTCTTCCGTTTCATTTCTTGGTTTAATGATGAAATTAATTTTTTACATAATTTGCAAAATTAAGTTTGAATTGTTGGGTGGGCTGAAAATATACTTTTTACAAGAAGTTAAGGACCACCAATTCTTTCATATTACTATAGTTATTCTGGTTTGACATGACATGGATCAAAACTGATTTACGAAAGAAAACAGTGTCCTTAACAATTATTTAAGGCAAACAGAAATATAAGACATTTTAGATCTTTAGGATATAAGATTGGGAACAAGTAAAAAATGTCTGGATGGTAAAACATATAGCAAGGGTATGACAAGTGAGAAGGGTCATCTAAAATTGTACCAGCTCAGCTAGAAACTTACACAGCTCATCTATGACATCCTGAAACTTTGCCTCCTAAAATAATGATTTTCTTCTTGAGTGAGAGGGGTTGATACCATACAGAAGATTAAAACAGACTGACTACAACTTTTATATAACAATCGCATAACAGAACAGTCATCATTAAAAGTTCTGTTTTGCAGATGTGATTGGTACTTATTACAAGCAACTTAAGTATTTGTGAAAATGTCACACCATTTATGAAATGCGGCAATGTGTTGTTTATTATTGTCTTCATTGTCAAAAAGTAGCCTGTACACAGTGGGGCATGGGTGGCCCAGTCGTCTTAGGCACTGCAAATCACTGTGCAGAGTTGTGTCCCTTGGGCACCCCAGAAACCTATTAATATTGTGGGTTCTAATCCCAGTTCATCCCAATTATGTTTCTAGGTTTGTCAGCACCATACCCGTGATTGTTGGTTTCACGAAAGTGTTAATTGCCTGAGACCTGTGTCACTTTTGGCTTTCCTCCCACATTAAGCTGACACACAGTGATATGATTTGAATACTGTTAAAAGCAGCGTTAAACCCAACTCACTCACTAACTGTCCGGGGTAGAATAGGTCTTCAGCAACCCATGCTTGCCGTAACAGGTGACTATGCTTGTTGTATAAGGTGAATAATGGGATCGGGTGGTCAGGCTCGCTGACTTGGTTGATGCATGTCATCGTATCCCAATTGCATGGATCGATGCTCATGATGTCAATCACTGGATTGTATGGTCCAGACTCACATTATTTACAGACTGTCGTCATATAGTTGGAATATTGCTGATTGCAGCGTTTAACAACAACTGCTGCCTGTGTTGTAACACTGTAAATTATTTGGGTTCCTCAGGAATAAATACATTGTGCAAAAGGTTTTGACTTGGGGCTGATAAAACCCTTTGTCCTTCTTCAATTTGCCAGTTTTCATTTTCTTCTTAGTCGTGTTTCATCATGGATGGACAGTCCATGCATCGTCCCGCGTGTCTCACTTGCAGACAGGTATTTTCGGCCTCTCCAATTTCTGTAGGTGTTGCAGTACATCGGCACGATGTGCTCAATGCGTGGATTTGCCTTATGAATCTTTCAGTATTTAGTTGTATGAATGTTGGCCCCATGAGCAGGACTGGGTGTCAAACAGTACTGACAAGATTACAAACACTAAGAACATGAAGAAAACTCCCGTGAAAAAGTAAAAAAGATCAGCGAAGCTATTTACACCCTTGACGATTGAGGATTTATTGAACTCCGTGCTCCTGTAATTTTGGTTGACGATGATGGTGTTTCCGATAGCTTTTTAACAAAAGACATTTCTGTCTTGACCAGCTTAGTTTGAAGAAACTACCTTCATCAGCTTTGGTAATTGAGTCATCTCCCTTTGTTACATCAAATGAGAGTTATTTCCCCTTCTAACTTCAGTGATGGTGAGAAGGAGATGAAATCAGTGTCAAGCCAGACAGAAGGAACCATCACTATCATCACCGTGGGCAACCCACCGAATGCAACCCATCCTAGTGGCACAGTGTCTGTCAAGACAACTACGCTGCCATCAAGCAATATGGCGAGTCAGCAATCGTTGGCAAAGTCTTCCAGGTGAGTAGCAAGATCATGAAGGGTTTCACATGACACAGGCATCCTGCATAGTTGGTGCCATTGTCATCGAAATTACTCCTAACAGAGTATCAATGAGTCATGTCCATGATATTTGATGCAATTAAAATCCTTAAAATCAGATCATCTAGTCGGATATGACACCTCTCTTCACGAAGATCTGACAACAACTCCATAGTAGGTCAAATCAGATTAACCCTGAGCTAACTTTGACCAGCCCAAGGAAATGAAGGATGTGCGAGCCAATTAGATGTCAGCTTTCTAAATTGATTTGGCTTCATTTCTTTACAATTTCGATTTGGGAAATTTTGATTTTAACAAAAGAAAACTCACTCAGAATACACATTTCCCATATTGGTACTCCCTTTTAGGTGTAGATGCCAAGCTTTCTGAAACAACTGGGTGTATAACACATTTTCCCGAGGCAAGGGCGTTAACTGACTATAAAAGTCCCGTTTCCACCCTTGCCAAACTAAGCCAAAAATTTCAGGCTCAATCGTAGTGCCACCAGTGGCTATTATAAGTTATGTCCCTTCTATGTCCCTCAAATTGACCAATCAGATTCCATCTCTCACTTCACTTGCTTTTGCTTCAAACAAAATGGCGGCAGCCAGTCAAGAAGATCTGATCGATAATCAAGATCTATATTGTAGTAAAATGGGTCTTACCTTGTGAAGTGCATCAAGTCACTTGAGCACCTTAATTAAAAACATGAAAAGATTTGCTAAATATCTCTCGACACCCATTTGCTTTGCATATCCTTCAGTCAACCAAAATCTGCTCGTTGAAATACATGTTGTTTACGAACCGGATGTCAAGTTCATTACACGATTTTGATTGGACTATGCATAGACTCGTTAGTCCAGGCAAAATGTAACTCTGGAATTCCAGCCTAATTCGACAAGAGTGGTAACTGGTCTTTTACAGTCATTTAACGCCCTTGCTTCGGGAAGATGTGTATAACATAGCCACAACCAAATAATGGCTGATCCGACCTTGGGTGTCCTCAGATCTTCACACACAGAGTTATCGTATAAAAATTAATTATCTCATTTTCATGAGATTAGATTTGTGTTACTGAGTACGACTTGCTACATACACATCAAAGGGATTGTAACAGAAATTGTTTATTGTTTTGTTAGGATGTCCCCAGCAGTAGAACGTACATAAAGTGACTATGACTTACAGGCATTTCTATACATGAAAAGGTTGTGATGATAAGACTGTCAGGAGCTATGTCTTGTTTTAAAGATGTTGTTGACTAAAAGTTATAAATACTGTAATCATGGTAATGCAGGATAAGTATAAAAATGTAAAAAATATCATATTATATCAATTACATTCATCACTCTCAAAGTTGTGCTCATGACTTTCAAAGACATGTGCAGTGATTCCCAGTTTCATATGCAAAGTAAAACCCTGTGTCATAAATACTAGGGAATGGCAAGCCAAAAACAATTTTTATGAAATGGAGGCATGCACAGCTTTTGGGAAAAGGGGTGGGGATGCCAGCTCATAATTCGGGAAACAATTTGCGTGAGTGAGGAAATGATTTAGTTAAAATATATTTTATATTCAATGTGGTGAGTATACTTCACAAAGGTGTGTGTGCACCAGCAACTCCTCTGGATCTGCGTATGGAATCGGAAATGGTAGATGTCAGTCTGCCATATGAAAGCTATTAGAGATGCAGAAGTGAAACAGTTTTGAAGTCTGATCAACTTGCAAGTCTTGATTTTCTAATGTGGGCAGGCCATAACATTATGTTGTTATCAGAATAATCAGGATATTATGTTGTGTTATCAGTAGGATAGTTCTGTGTGACAATAAGACACTCTAAATTATTGATAATGCACACCCATAGCTAAGACGTACAAATTCAGTTGCTGTACTCCCAAATGGCAAATACGAATTCAAGCTTTAAAAATTAATATTGAATTATGGAGTCCATGTATACCATGTAGGGGCACAATGGTCCTCCCGCTAAATTCCTGCAGTTGGCTGTGCTGTGGTTGTCTTGAAACAAAATATGTCAGCAATAGGTCCAGGGTATTTATCGATAGATTTTGAAAAGATAATGTGACTGTAAACCTCCCAGGTTGTGTCCCCCCCTCCCTTCGGACCTGATTATGAAATTCGTGTGCACACTGATACATTGATTTGGGTAATATAAATGTTGTGCTGTGACTTCAATGAATTCTTAAACATGTCTGAGTTGGCCTTGAAGTGAATCTTTATGTCTGTCAGTCTGTTGTGGTAACACGAGCTCCACCCTGTATGCTTGTTTGCTTGTTTTTTGTTTAACGCCCCCCTCAGCAATAGTCCAGTTATATGACGGTGGATCAAACCAGTGATTGATGTTATGAGCAGCAATCCTCACCATCAGGCCACACTGACAAGCTATTAACCAAGTCACCATGTCTAACCACCCACTTCATTACGTCACCTTGAAGGTTGCTGGGGGCCATTTCTAACCTAGAATCCTCACTGGTTGTGCTGAATGAGTACACATGTATTTGCTTGCGTTTCCAGGGCAAGCAGCTCCAACATGGGTGTTGGGAGTGACCGAGCAGGGAGTCCGACGTCCACACTTATATCAGAGAGACTCTCCGCCAACAGCGCCTCCACATTGACCGGACAGAACCAATCTGTGAGTGTCTTGTCTTTCTCTACATACCTAATCTCGTTCAAATCAGATCTCTGACTCAGATTTGATACCTCTCTCTCTCAGATTTGATACCTCTCTCTGTCCCAGATTTGATACTCTCTCCGTCAAGATCTGAAAAAATGTCCATATCAGCCAATCATCATGTCGATTTCTAAATTCTCATTACAAGTAAGCAAAGCAGTAACGAACATAAACGGGAAGTTCTGAATGGAAAATAATAATGGCCACCTTGTCTTGTGGTTATTTTACACCCAAATAAGGTTTGATTTTAATCAGATTTTCTGAATACCCTGCATGGGATGTCTGAGTCTTTACTGCAATCATTTCCAGAACATTTACATTTCTAACCTTGTTTGTTATCAGCTTTTTTAAATACTTTAATTCATGTTGTAGGCCTCCAGGTTTAGCTCTTTACTTTATGAACTAGTGGCTCCTTACATTTGTTTACAAGGAGCCAGGGGAAAATTAAAGGAGCCAAACTTCAATGTCATAATCAGTAAAGCATGGTACTGTAATGCATATGTAATTTATTAGAAACCACCTAAATCATAATAAAAGCCCAGGGGCCACAAAGCATCTTAGCGCTACGACTGCTGTAAGTCTTTGTTACAGCAGAGCTACAGATAAGCAGCATATTTGAGTAAAATACCCCCCAAAATATTTCAAACCCAATTACTTTCAATTAACTTGCATACAGAAATGCATGCATTAATTGAAAAATTCAAATGTATAAAAACAGCATGCGTAAATACCCAATGAAGCTTTTTCAGCATGCATACAAAGGAGCTAATTTACGAAACACAAATACGAGCTAATTTACTTTCCGAGTCAAGCCTATATATTTGGAACAGTTATCATGGTTATATACATCTAAAACATTATTTCATTTTTTTAAAATATAAAAATGTTCACTTTTTGGGGAAAAAACCGAATAGAGTTATGAATAGATGAGGGGACCTGATCAGTATTTGTTCCTGTATCTTATATCTATCTCTTATTTTATGAGTTTAGTAATATCAGGGTCCCAGCTCGATGTTTTCCAAGTGCCTGAACACTTCCCTTGGTGTACAAGATGCAAGATGATCACATTGTTTCAGTTTGAACCGACCCATGATGGTGTGCAACATTTCTGTGAGAAACATCTGAGTAAAATCAAGAACTTCATCAGCAGCCTCAAAGCCAGGATCCCCTTGCCAACAAAGTGCAGTGTTGTCAGTAAGTAATTATTCAAATTATTCACTATACTTTACCCATGCTTTTTTCATATTAAATAAGATAACATTTGTATTACAGGGGCTTACCTGTCCAATTGATTTAGAGGGACAACATTTTGTAGTTGTTGTTTTTTAATCTAATAAGGGCGGTTGCATTGCCTGGTAGTTAAAACATTAATGCCAAAGTCTCAGTTCTAATCCCAGTGTGGGTATAACATGTACCAATTGACCTAACATGTCTGGAATATTATTGGTTATGGTGTCTTTAGTGGGTGTATACAGTGTTATATTAGGTTAGCAGAAGAATATTTTGCGAGTCGTGAGCATCACAATTAATTATATTAAAACACAAAACAGTGTCGAATAATGATTTTCTGTACCAGAATTTTTATGTGAAATATGTGAGGTGGGTGTTGGAAAATCCAAAATGGCTATTACTGACTGTATACGTTGTCATATTAGGTCAGTTACAACCATCTTGGATTTTTTCTGACAGTAAACGGGCTCATGTTGGGTCAGTAGTTCTGCTCTCTGATTGGTCAATCTCACTTTGAGGCATAATAATGCTAATAGTGGGGCATCAAACCAAACCCACTCCCTCTGTTTTAGAGTTAGAGTGGTAATGTAGAATTACCTGCTTGTAACACATAATAAGTCAGCTGCTACTTTCAGAGTCAACAGTCAGACCGTGAATTTATCACCTTTTAGATCAGTTCAATTTCTAGGACATGAAGTTATTGTTATCAAACATGTATTTTTGACATTTGCTAATGGCATTAGGGAATGTCCCATAAAAAGTTCATAAATTCATGAAAATGCCCTATCGAAGATTGAGTGAGTGAGTGAGTGAATTGGGTTTAACGCCACTTTTAACAGTATTCCAGTTATATCACGGCGTGTCAGCTTAATGTGGGAGGAAAGCCCGAAGTGATTCAGGTCTTAGACATTTACCACTTCGATGAAACCCACGAGCACAGGTATGGTGCTGACAAACCTAGAAACATAATCGGGGCGAACCGGGATTGGAACCCACAATCATAGGTTTCTGGCGTGCCCAAGGGACACAACTCTGCACAGCGAATCGCGGCGCCTTAGACGACTGGGCCAACCGTGCACCCCTATCGAAGATTGATATAATCATGAAAATGTTGCATTGAAAGTTGACATTAATATGAGAATTCCCTATTGCCATCTGTCTCTGGCAAACGGACTGCATGCTGTATATCATGATTCTAGATGGCCGACGGCGGTACCTGCGCCTCCACTTTCAGTGTTGTAGTCAGTCGGAGCAGTGCCTGTATTTCAACAGCTACTTCACACTCAACACACGCCTGCCCAAAACATGGATACACCTCATGTTTTTATCTGTACAGGTAAGCTTCATATATATATCCAGTTTCATAAATACTCCTTATAGAATATTGCTCTCTGACTGTCCGAAAAATCAATACACATCCTTTTCTTATGTCATGACATCATGATGTGTGAGGTAAATTGGTGTCAATTGCTTGTCAGGTCACAACTGACTCGGTTCGCATTTTGAGTGGGTGAGGTTTTATGCCGCTTTTAGCAATATTCCAGCAATATCATGGCGGGGACACCAGAAATGGGCTTCACACATTGTACCCATGTCGGGAATCGAACCCGGGTCTTCGGGGTGACGAGCTAACGCTTTAACCAGTAGGCTCCCCGACCGCCCCGTTCGCATTTTGAGTTAACTTAGAAGTTCTATGGCTGCCATTTGATTGATGCAATTGTCACACACAAATATTTCCTTGGAAGTAAGTCTTTGTAACTTATAAACTCACAGTGTTACCTGGGGGGCCCAGTCGTCTAAGGCGCGCGATTTGCTGTGCAGAGTTGCGTCCCTTGGGCACGCCAGAAACCTATGATTGTGGGTTCGAATCCTGATTTGCCCTGTTTATGTTGCTAGGTTTGTCAGCACCATACCCGTGCTCGTGGCTTTTACCAAAGTGGTAAACGTCTGAGACCTGCAACACTTTGGGCTTTCCCTCCCATATTAAGCTGACACGCTGTGATATGACTGGAATACTTTTAAAAGCAGCGTTTAACCCAACTCACTCGCTCAGTGTTACCCTGGGTTAAAATAAGCAACCCATGCTTGTTAGAACAGGTGACTAACAGGGTCGGTTTGTCAGGCTCTCTGACTTGGTTGATGCATGTCTTTGTATGCCTATTTCATAGGACCCGTGAAGATCCGGGGTAGAATAGGTCTTCAGCAACCCATGCTTGCCTTAAAAAGCGACTATGCTTGTCTTAAAAGGCGACTAACGGAATTGGGTGGTCAGGTTTGCTGACTTGGTTGATGCATGTCATCGATCCCAATTGCGTGGATGGATGCTCATGATATCAATCACTGGATTGTCTGGTCCAGCCTCGATTATTTTACAGACCGCCGTCATATAGCTGGAATATTGCTGAGTGCGGCGTAAAACAACAAACCAACCTATGCATAGATCAATGCTCATAATGGCAGTCACTATATTGTCTGGTCCAGACTCTATTGTACCTGCGTGTGTATGGTCTTCAGGCACAGTCCTCCTCAGCTCTGAGTCAGCGAGACACCAACGTGAGCTGCCTGAAGCGCTGCTGGGATGCTCTGAAGGGGGAGCGGGGCAACAGCAGCTTCCTGACCCTCATGACCTCCACCTTCCCTGCACATAAGGTGAGCTACAGAATAACAGTTTTATCTCAGATGGTGTTAACAATGAGATAAACTGCTCTGATAAATTTGGTATCAAAACCCAATGATTATGCATGAGGTCACCTATTAAACGAACAGCATGGTTGGGTAAAATTTGGCCCAAATCAGGTCCTTGGTTTGTCTGCACTATGAGTTGATGTGCACTGATGGGACATTGTACCCTAATCTCATTATGGTCAGTGTTTGAAATAATTTTAAAACCCATCAACTTTTCAAGACAGACCCATTAATGTTGCCTGCCCATCTTAAAAGTTACAAGCCCGCATTCAGACATTATAAATATTAGCAAATTGCATAAAATATGAAACAAATTGTGTCTTGATAAGGTTGAAATAATGCAAACAATTAACTGAGAATCTATGAGGAGTTATAATAAAACTGAATACATAAGGAGTCTTAAAATTATCTGCCGGACAGTCAGGCATGTAAAGGAAAATCTCATGCAGCCGACAGAAAGGTTACCAGCCAGGGTCAGGCAGGCAGGGTCAAATGGTAAAGAAATAAGCCAAATTGTTATAGAAAGTGGGCATCTTATGGCCACAAGAACCCACTCATTCTTTATGTAGACTGGGCAGCCAAAATTTCGGTCAGGGTTTTGCCTGATGCAATCTCCTATTGAGGTGTTCTCAGGTCTTCACTCCGAGAGGTATTGTATTGGAGTAAAACATCTTATCTTATTATCCCCCACCCAACAAAGTTGGTGGGGGATATAGAAACTGTCTCCGTCCGTCCTTACATCCGTCTGTTCGTCCGTCTGTAGTCTGTCCGTCACGTTTCGTTTCCGGAGCATAACTCATAAACCGTTCAATATTTTTTCATCAAACTTTGCAGGTCTGTCAAGTAGATGCTGAACTGGTGCCTTTTGCTATTTAGAAATTTTAGAAAAAAATTTTTTTTATGTTTCCATGGCAAAAAGATGGACTTAGGTTCCAAACTCTTCTTTTTTTTACAATTTCCATGACAAGTTCCTCCTCGGTTAAAAAAGGTTAGGGTTTGTTTAGATTTAATCATGTCATAAATTCTGCAACAGGGGCGGGGGATATAGCCACGTTAGTGGCAAACTTTTGTTGAGATTGAAACCCTGTGGTAACTATGGGTTGGATTTGAGGCCCAGCAACCTATGCTGGTAGTAAGACGTGACTTCATGGATCGGGGGGTCAGACTGGAGACTTGGTTGGTTGCAGGTCATTGTGCCCAGATGGCATGGATCGTTGCTCACAATATCAATCACTGGATTGTCGACTCCTGACTAGATTATTTACAGGCCGCCACCATACAGTTCAATACAGCTGAATGAGGCATTCAGCAACAGCCACACACATAATGAGATTGCTTCTTTGAACTGTGTGAACTTGGATCATTGCTCAAACGATCATGTGTAATTCTGATTTGAACAATCTTTTGTTCTTCATTGTTGTGTAGGATCAAGATACTCTGCTACATGAACTCCACGATGAGCGCTACTTCGATGTGTTTGAGTTGAGCGTGACGCAGGAGAACTGGGCATGCTTCATGTGCAACCACCCAGAAAAAGTGTCCGGCTTGCTACAGGATGGCCTGCCTGTCATAGCGGTGAGTCACATTCGCTCTCCTACCCAGAGATTGTTCAAAATATCAATCACTTCACTATTTACTGACCACTCTCATACAGCTGATATATGGCTGAGTGTGGTGTTAAACAACAGACATCCATTTCAATTTTTAAAAGTCTACACATTTTGATAAGCATATGACAAGAAATGGTTGAATTCACTGAGAATATATGAAATGAAAAAACTAGTTCCATTTGGGTAATTCCTTTGTTTCCATGTCCTCTACACAGCTTTTTTTGGGGGGGGGAAGTGCACTGTACAGAAGAAAATATTGTAGTCAAACATTCCAGAGTACCCTTTTGTTTATGTCTTTTACTGTTTCAATGTTTTGATGATGACATGTTTTATTATCATTGTTAAATGCGAGATTGTAGAATTGTGTAAAGAAAATTAATTCTAAATCACTTGATATAAAAATGAGGCAAAGATAATCATGAAAACATATGCATCAGCTGTTTTAAGCATATAAGGCTGGTTAACTGGTCTGTTGACATGGAAGATTTTTGTGTCTGCTTTTGATACAATTGGAGAACATGAAGATACCAAGAAGTTGAGTTCTGTTATTTACAACAGTGTCAAAGCTTGGTACAACCATGGTGACCACCACTAGCTGATTCAAATTAGAAGAAAAGAAACATTTATCAGGATTTTACTCATCAAGGATTACATTTATATAGGGCGGCACTCTCCCAGGTCGACTGAACACCACCTCTACCCCAGAAAAGGCCGCCAGCCCACACCAGTGTTCTGAAATCCAACCTGAGAACCAATTTCTTTTTTAGCCTAACGCTAATATCAATCAGCCTATTGCCAGAGAAATAGAGTGTGTTATCAAAGCTCAGTGCTGTGTAACTACTTCTGTGTAAGAGGGCTAGACAGTGAAGTTCAAATTCAATTCAACTTCAAAGACAAACTATGTGAACCCAGGTCTCCTTGTAGATAATTTATTGTCTCCTGAATACTTTGTCAGGGCCAGCTGAAGGAGAAGAAGGGCCGCTGGAAGTTCCTGAAACGCTGGAAGACGCGGTACTTCACCCTCTCCGGGGGCAACTTCACCTACAGCAAGAGTGATTCGGTCAGTAACACACACAGGCCCAGAGTATACTTTGTGTTAAGTTAATGGAACTGTTGGGCATTGCAATGCTCCAAGATAGAACATTCATTCTTGCCGACTTGGAAATATTGTGGAAATTTAGTTACATGTGTTTTTGTTGATATTTTTAGCCTCAGTATTGTTAGAAGTATTATACTGGGAATATTTGAAAAGCAATGTTGACTGCAACTTCTGCGTAGTGGCTGACTGTTGATTACATATATAATATTATCCAGGTGAGCTACAGTACCATGGCGCTGTCTTTTCATCTTCTCAGAAAACAATGGTCAACATGCATGGAACTTGCATGGAGGATCCGTAACATTGTGTGTTTCTTAATTTATTCTCATTCATGCTTTTGAAAAAGGAAAATATTTTTGTCCTTTTATGTTTGCATCGATGTGCGAGACATGGTCTGTAGCGAGTTAGGAGTGGGTCTGAACACACATAGGATGTTTCTGTCTGTTTTGATACCATGTCTAACTTGTTAACGCCGCCATGAAGATCCGGATTAGAATTGATCTTCAGCAACCTGTGCTTGTTGTATGAGGCGACCAATGGGATCGGGTGGGTGGTTAGGCTCTCTGACTTAGTTGATGCAAGTCATCATATCCCAAATGTGTAGTTCGATGTTCATAATGGCAATCACTGGCTTGTCTGGTCCAGTTTCGATCCTTTACAGACCTCTGTCATCCGGCTGGAATATTGCTGAGCACAGTGATTTCTGTAATCAATGAATTTTTTACTTATCCTGCATTACTACTTAATGCAGTCATCCCTCAGGCTTATGAGATCACCAAACTTGATCCACCGAGAGTGAATAATCCTCACGAGATCAGGGCATTAGCCTCTACCATGGCGTTACATAGTAACAGTTCTATTAAAACGATCATGGAAAGATGTTTTTGATCCGACACAGTTTTCTCTTGTTATTACCTGCGTGATGTGGCCCTCAAAGACGTCGGGTTGGTTTAGGGGATTGATGTCAAAGTTCAAATCAGAGTCTTTTTGGCATTGATGCAGATTTCAAGTTTTCAATGTAATGGAATAGGTTTTTTTCACTTATTTGTGTTCATTTTCTTTCAGTGTAAAGAAATGTTACCAGTCAGCAAGATTCAGAGTGTGAAAGCAGTCCGGAAGGGAATCCGGGATATTCCTCGTGCATTTGAGATCTTCACAGCAGATCAGACTTATGTGTTCAAGGCCAAAGGCCAGCAGAACGTGGAACAGTGGGTGCAGTGTCTCCACATCGCAGTGGCCAGGACACAGAACAGGGACATACGACCACGTTCTGTGATGAGCGACACCAAGCTGTAGGAGGGCCGTGGTCCAGCATATGAAGATGAGCAACAACCCTAGAATCTTGTCACCATTATGCCCCCAGATATACATACTTCCCGCCTGTGATCTATGATGTAGTTCACTCTGAGACTGTCATAAGACCACTGCTTTTGTACACAGCTGGGACCTGTTTCACAAAGTGATCACAGTGCTAGGACTTTCTTAACTCCTATACTATAACATAGACTTACGACAATCTTTACTCCTATAACTTAAAGTAGACCTATGACTATATTTACTCATGAACTTTAACATGACTTATGACTAATTTTTACAGGTATATTTTAACATAGACTTCTAACAAACTTTACTCCTATATTTTACATAGACTTACGACAATCTTTACTCCTATACTTTAACATGGACTTCCGACTATTTTTACTACTATGCTTTATCATAGACTTCTGACAATCTTTACTCAAACCTATACTTTAACAAAGACTTACGACTATTTATACTCCTATAAGTTAACAAAGACTTCCGACAATCTTTACTCCTATATGTTACATAGACTTCCGACAATCTTTACTCCTATATGTTACATAGACTTACGACAATCTTTACTCCTATATGTTACATAGACTTCCGACAATCTTTACTCCTATATGTTACATAGACTTACGACAATCTTTACTCCTATATGTTACATAGACTTACGACAATCTTTACTCCTATATGTTACATAGACTTACGACAATCTTTACTCCTATATGTTACATAGACTTACGACAATCTTTACTCCTATATGTTACATAGACTTACGACAATCTTTACTCCTATATGTTACATAGACTTACGACAATCTTTAATCTCATATGTTACATAGACTTACAACTATTTTTATGACTATACTTTAACATAGACTTACAACAGCCATTGCACTAGAAGTCCATTATATACCATTACGTTGATTTACTTACGACAGTTGTAGCACGTCAATAGGTTTGTGAAATGGGTCCTGCATCACAGTGGTATGATTGCCTTATGAAACAGGGACTAGGACAATCTTAAAATGTTTTTCTGTCACAGAACACATTGAGAAATCAATTCTTACAGATGTTAAACAGATCAGTCTCATCGTATTGTGAGGCTTGTGATAGCTCTTGTTATCTTGTTTGAAGAGATCTGGTGCTGAAATCAATAGTTTGAATATTCTAAACAGGGTACACGATGACTTCTGAGAGCATGACACTGCTCTCCATACAAATCCTACTTGAGATGTTTTACGACCAAGCAGCACACATATGGTGGCACAGGTGAGGTTAGGTGAAATGGGATTTGGTCAAATGGGATTTGGTCAAATGGAGTTTAGCAACAGTTCATGATGATTGCACTGATATAGCGACGTGCATACATGTGTGAGAATGGCTGCTTATATTAATCCAGACTAATGCCCGCTATATAGTGCCAGCCCACTGAGATACCTTGTTTAGCATGGATACTCCTCCACACAGACACATCATACTGACTCCGAGCCAACCATGCCTTGTGTTATCTGCTTAATGCCGTGCGCCAGGCAGGGTAACAACAAGTAACATCTTTTAACGTCCTTTGGTATGACATGGCAGGGGATTCAACCTCCGACCTTCCATTGTCGGGGCAACAAATGTAGTGCAACACAGACTCACATGTTTTTGACAGCACCTCTGGGAACAGCAAAGATGGTCGTCGTGTACAGTACATTTGCAAATTACCTATCCACGTGTCTCACCTGTTGCAAAAATAATCCGGTCCGGTCAAAATTTAAGAATGTCCGGACAATATTTTTAAATGTCCGGACAGAAAAATTAAATGCCCAGTAAGCAATATTTTAAACCTGAACATTTGAGGTTCCCAATCGGACACGTTCGGCACATATGACCGTTTCCAGACCCCTGCTGTTCTCAGGCCACCACAAATGCGACTTCTATGCAATACTTTCTTCGGTTGTGTACAATTACCTGACTAAAAATATTTGCATTGATGACCTGTGCCATTCACCAAGCAGTGGTTGTGCTATTGTAACTACCATGTCAAACATATGCTTGCAGCAGTCATGGTGCTGAGACTGATTCATGAAACATGCATGGCTGGAGTTACAAGTGACCCACCTGCAATTTGTATGAACACATGCTGCTGTCGTATGAGGTCAGGATGAAAAGCACTGACATACACACTACTCAAATTTGTGTTGTAATTTTAAGTATAACAATGTAATCCAATTATTTATTACCAATCAACTTGTTTTCTGTGAAATAACAGTGGTGATGAAGGTGAATGTCAAGAATTGATGAGGAAAACAAATGTATTTAGTGTTATATCACAGAGTTCGTCTGTGTATTATCACAAGCATCTTCCCGAGGCAAAGGGAGTTAACTGACCATTAAAGTCCAGTTTCCACCCTTGCTGAACTAGGCTGGAATTCCTGGGCTCGATCGTAGCGCCACCAGTGGTTATTACGCATTACGTCCCTTCTATGCCTCTCCTATGGACCAATCAAATTCCACCTCTAGTATCACTTGCCTTTGCTTCAAACAAAATGGCGGTTAAGTCAAGACGATCTGATCGATAATCAACATCTATATGGTGATAAAACGAGTCTTACATCCCGAAGTGAATCAAATCACGCGAGCACCTTGATTAAAAACATGAAAAGATTTTGAAAATATCTGTTGACAATGAGCTGGCAGTGCACATGCTTTGTAAATCATGCAATCGACCGAAATCTGCACAACGGTTTACGAACCGGATTTTGATTTCATTGCGCGATTGCGATTGGACTATGCATAGACTTGTTAGTCCAGCCAAAATCTAACTCCATAATACCAGCCTAGTTTGGCAAGGGTGGAAACTGGACTTTCACAGTCAGTTAACTCTCTTGCCTCGGGAAGATGTATCACCAGAGCATCCTATATAGTGAAGGAACCCATGTAGTGGAACTGTCTCAATCGACTCGCAGTAGTCCCACATTCTTGTATTTCTGAGGAGTCCAGTAACTGATGCTGACCTCGAGGCTGAATCAGAAAGACAACTTATCACAGGTTTTTGAAACTGTTGTCACAGTGGCAGCTTCTTATTTCAGAGTGGAAAAACAATACTACATTGTAGTTGTCCTGCAGGGGAAATGCATTCTAGTTTTTGGCTGGTGACAAATTCAAAGAACTAGAGGTTCAGGGGAGGTCACTAGCTCAATAGGTGTATGGGAAACTCTCTCAACCAGTTTTCGCTTCTGTTGAACAAAAGTACTCGTTCTCATAAAGCACTGTGGTTGTTTCTGACTGCTGACTGCTGACACTTTCAGTACAAGGCTGGACTGAGTTGCTGTCATCCAGTGATGTTTTCGTGGATACACCCAGAGCTGCAGATAAGCTTCGTATTTGCGTAAAATACCCCCCAAAAACATTTCAAAACCCAATTACTCTCAATTAACTTGCATACAGAAATGCATGCATTAAATGAAAAACTCAATTGTTTGAAACCAGCACACGTAAATACCCAATGAAGCTTTTTCAGCATGCGTACAATGGAGCTAATTTCCGAAACACAATTACGAGCAAATTTACTTTCCGAGTCCAGCCTATATTTCCAACTGTCATATTTTTTTTGAAATCTCAAAATGCTTACTCATTTTTGGAAAAACCCAATAGAGTGATGAATAGATGAGTGAAAAAATATTGGTTACCCAATGAAAAATGTAATAACCCAATTAAAATAGAAACCTTTGAGTAAAAACTCAATTGCTCTAAAAGTTATCTGGAGCTCAGTACACCTGATAACAGAGAGTTGGTTTTGTTTGCAAATTCATGTTAACTACCTGTACGTGTATTTGTTGAACTAGTTTCCTGGTACTCCAGGTTGTCATAAAGCATTGGCTTACCATTGATGGTACTCCAGTTTGTCATAAAGCATCGGCTTACCATTGTTGGTACTCCAGTTTGTCATAAAGCATTGGCTTACCATTGTTGGTACTCCAGTTTGTCATAAAGCATCGGCTTACCATTGTTGGTACTCCAGTTTGTCATAAAGCATTGGCTTACCATTGTTGGTACTCCAGTTTGTCATAAAGCATTGGCTTACCATTGTTGGTACTCCAGTTTGTCATGAAGCATTGGCTTACCATTGTTGGTACTCCAGTTCGTCATAAAGCATTGGCTTACCATTGTTGGTACTCCAGTTTGTCATGAAGCATTGGCTTACCATTGTCGGTACTCCAGTTTGTCATGAAGCATTGGCTTACCATTGTTGGTACTCCAGTTTGTCATGAAGCATTGGCTTACCATTGTTGGTACTCCAGTTCGTCATAAAGCATTGGCTTACCATTGTTACCATGATTATATAGCTATGTATTATCAGAGTTTATGGTCTTAGGACAACATTTATTTATTTATTCTTGAATATTGAGGTAGACTTTGTACAAGGATATCATTTATGTCCTTTGTATGGTGTAGATTACTAGTAGAATATTCTAGATTATTATTTTTATGATTATTTACACATGACTGTACCCAAAGTATCTTAACTTACAGATTCCTATTCAATCCTCGCTTATAGTGAGTTAGTGGCAAGAATATGTGAAGAGATGTATGTAAAGTTCCTGTGTGGTGATCCTGTATGTAGAGATCTTGTTACAGAGCTTGCCTGTGTGGTGATCCTGTGTGTAGAGATCCTGAGTGTAGAGATCCTGTATTTTTTAGACCTATATGTGAGAGATCTTTCATGTAGAGATCTTGTGTACAGAGCTTGCCTGTGTGGAGATCCTGAGTGTAGAGATCCTGTATTTTTTAGACCTATATGTGAGAGATCTTTCATGTAGAGATCTTGTGTACAGAGCTTGCCTGTGTGGAGATCCTGAGTGTAGAGATCCTGTATTTTTTAGACCTATATGTGAGAGATCTTTCATGTAGAGATCTTGTGTACAGAGCTTGCCTGTGTGGAGATCCTGGGTGTGGAGATCTTGAACGTAGAGATCTTGTAAGTAGAGATCTTGTGTACAGAGCTTGCCTGTGTGGAGAACCTGTGTGTTGAGATATTGTACGTAGAGATCCTGTATGTAGAGATCTTGTGTACAGAGCTTGCCTGTGTGGTGATCCTGTGCGTAGAGGTCTTGTATGTAGAGATCCTGTATGTAGAGATCTTGTACGTAGAGATCCTGTGTGTTAAGAGGTCTTCCAAGTGGAGGTCCTGTATGAAGTAACCTCAGAGGCAATGGAAGTCTGTATGTCAGATAAACCTTATTCATGATTGTATTGTGAGATGGAGATCTATAATCTAGAACAATGTAACTATTTGATGGTTTGGGGTATAGATTTGTCCTAATTGTAGAAGCACAAGTGTAAAATATACCAGAATCCATTATGTTCTAGTGATGTTTGTCCCTTAATCGTACACAACATTATCTTGATTAGTCTGTTGTTTCACTACTTGGGTTATATTTTCAAATATCCGATCTTGCTATGAAGATTGTTTTCAGATAATGAGCAATTTACGAGAATGACTTTTATCATTATATCAAGTGTAAACATTGTGTTTTTGATTGGTCGATTTTAGATTAGAAATTTGAATTTGAAAATCTTCTGAAGCTTGTGAAGGTGCTTCTGGGCTAGAGAGGTAGTTTGGAAGTAAGTCTGATCATTTCGTAAAACAGCTGGTGAT